AAATTCTGATGAGATTACAGATATAGATTTAAGGAAGGATACAGTATCACTCTTTTCAACAAAATATTACTTTCTGGAAAGTACAAGCATGAACATGAATTATTTCTGTGATTAAAACAATCATTCTGAATTCTGATTCGTTAAATTTCTTTCAAGAAGGAAACCCCCAGTTTTTGTTTTCAACTTTGTGAAAGGAAAAGGTTATTATGGAACGTATTTTTAGTTTTTACTACTACTTTCTTCTACGTTCAATTTAAGGGTGGGGGCACTAGATTTGATATTCGGTAACTTTATTCGCACAAAATTAAATGGACCAGAAATATTTCCAAAATGTGTTAACCCTTAAACGTTACTATAGTTGAAGTTCCATAATTTTTTGTAATAGCTAAAAGTAAATCATTAGGTTCTTGCTAGACTGAGTGAAAGTATTTCTCTTAAGGTCAGACGACACGTTCCTTTTTTCCAAGAATTTGTCATTGAAGTACTGAGTATTGCTTCTTTAATGAGTTTCCTCACCTTTTCAGGCATTTGATCAAGATACCAGAGGATTTATTTGCTATATAATCCTATTTAAAATAAAAAATTAAAAATCACAGTATAATGATAATTATGATTTATTTGTTATATATTACGAAGAGATAAACCCCCCCCCCCCAAGATATTCGAGCAACGTGTCGTCAGACCTCAAACTACGAAATCATTTAATTATTTAATCCATGGTACTTGATCCCGACTCTGATGCTTCTAGAGGTCCGTGTTTGCTCTGCTCCCGATATGTTTTGTTTCAATGGACTTTTGAGCTTGGTTACTGTTCGTTATCTCCATATTTCATCCAATATTCAATTGTGATGTCTTTTTTTTAAGGCAATGTAACTTGTAAATTAAAATATTACCGGTATTTTTCAGTTTATCACAGTTGTCACACGCTCTACGTATGAACAATTTCTAAAACGAGGTAAGTTATCGACAAACAAGTTGATGAAACAAGAATATCAGCAGTCTCTTTTAAAGTCGTCATTTTGTAAGCTACAATGATCTTGTCAGCAAATAAAATTTATCATTAAGTCAAATGGTGACTGAAGTATTTCATACTTATTGTTAGCCATTATTTAAACTCTGAATTGTCGACGGATTTTTCCGTTATTTCCCGATCATGACAAGGAGCACACGGCGGGTGTCACCGCTCGGCAGGGGATGCTCACTCCTCCATGGCAGTAATTGATCCCACCTTTGTTGTTTTAGAGGTCCGTGTTTCGTTATCTCCAAATATTTCACTCAATTGGGTGCCAATTAAAAAAGTTACATTTGTTTTATTATATTTTCTATCAACTTAAAATGTTTATTTATAAAGTAGATCAATCTTCAAGGCATATTCAAGTCTTATCAATTTTTATAGAACATCACAATTACAAATAGGGGTTGAAACATCTGGGTTTTTTTTCAGAAACATTCACATTAGCTAATTAGATATAGAGAAGCCAACACCATTTTTGTTTTATTTTTTATTATATTCATTTTCATTATTAGAAATATCAAGTCAATGTGTGTTTAAGAATCTTTAAATAGCAACACAAGTATATGCTTAATCATGTGATCAAGTTTGAGCCAATCAGAGAGCTTTGAATAATAGAAGCATATACCAAAGATTACTGTGAATCTTCTACATCTATTTTTATTCAAATCTTTATATTTGGGGCAGCTAGCAATCACAATATGGCTTCAAGTACATCTTCCAAAAGGATCCTTATGCTCGATATGGCTTCCAATACATCTTCCCAAAGGTTTGTTTACATCATATCTTAAATTTAGTTATACTGTAAACCTACTCGTGTCAAATAAATGACTATGAGAGCTTGTGCTCAGGAACCAACAGCACTGTACATGTATATCCTATGTGTCGGATCTACTTACTAGATACAAGGTCACGGATGGAAATTTATATAAAGCACTAAAAATGACCCACGACACAAACAATCAAAAATTGTCAAATTATCAGGACGCCCTGTACCTTCCTCTGGACATAGAAGAGGTCCAAAAGTCATAAACAACAAAACAGATGAAAACGAAAAAATCTAGCATTATAACCACGCTACTAAACTCTGTTTATTCACAGTTTAACATTTTGATACATGTGAAAGCAAATTAATTTGAAATGAATAAGGACAACCGCGAGGAACGCCCAGCCAGTCTGGTCATTACCACAGGAGACCAGAAAGTTAAATTTGACAATTTTTTATTGTTCGTGTCGTTGGTCATTTTTAGTATATATACGAGGGTTGTTCGGAAAGTTCGTGGACTTCTGTCATATTTTTTTTATTTAACGTCATAAGTTATCCAAATTTGGTAGAAATATTTCAACAATAAATTTAAATAATTTGCATCAATTTTTTCAAAAATATCATGATTTATTTAAAACTTATCTAGAATTAAAAACTACAAAAATCGGATCGCGGCGCAGGTCAAAATTTGTAATTTACAAACAATACACTAAATAATGTCTGTAGTCATCTTCTCTGTAAAATGGAGCAAAAACGAAAAAATCCTAGAGGGTTAAAATAAGAACTGTTACATCAATTCTTATTCCAAATTATGGCTTAATATTTTGCTTCGGTAAAAAGAAATCAATCTGAGAAGATAGGTAGTCCTCATTGAACACGACAAAAACGATGACGTTGTAGAACGTCACGGCGCAGCAGATAACGATGCAGTTTTGTGTTATACTCGGGGAAAATCCTGAATAAACGCTAAAAATGTCGGAAGAATCAGAAAATATGCCACAAGCGGGTAGTGCATGTGTGTAAATGGTAGAGGTGGTATTTGAGTGACAGAGACTCTGTATCGGACGAGGACAATATGTGAAGAAACAGCTTAACTGTAAAATTCTGAACGAAAACTTTTAAAAGTTGGGACGTCATGGAAAGACGCAGGCGCTTCAGAGTTGCTGATCTTGTGAAAGCACAATTAAGCGGTAAACAGCTGGTAAAAGAAATTAAATATTAACAAAGGAAGTTATAAAACGAGAACAATTGTTAGAAAAATAAATGTCAAGTGATTGAAAAAGGTTTTTAATACGTGGGTATTGGACTATACTGTGTGAATGTATAGGGATAGAATTTTTAAGAAACTCTTGACGCTATGTTTTTGACGTTACATTGCTTTTAAGTGTGCGCCGTGGTTACAAAACATGTTGATTTTAAAATAAAGTAAATTAATTTCTATCAAATCAAATGGAATGAAATTTCACAGATCAACAAAACAAATATTTTTACACATGATATTGTGCTTACTTTAAATTTCTTGGAAGTAGTATAACAAAGATTGACATCGTCCACGAACTTTTCGAACAACCCCCGTATATATATATATATATATATATATATATATATATATATATATATATATATATATATATATATATATATATATATATATATATATTAGGGATGTCAATTTTATTCGGACAGCTTAGTCGAATGGTCGGAGGCTTTAGTCGAACGATAGTCGAATATTCGTTGAAATTTAAATTAATTTTTCATGTCATTTTCACTATTTGTCTTTTATAGACTAGTTGTACAATATTTAACCTACGCTATCACCTTTATACAACGAATTCCTGAATCGTAAACATTTACGTAGTACAATAAATACTGTATATCTACATTTATCCAATGCATTTGATTTCAAAATTAATATAATATTTACTACACATTTTATCTAAATGCATTTGTCCTTTCTTTTCATAATGATAGTACATGTACCCGTTAATTGAAGCCATTTATACCTGTCGTGTCAGTGACCTTTGACTGGTAAACAATTAATTACAGCGTGCCTCCGATAAAAACAGAGAGAGAGAGAGCTTGCGATAAATTTTAATTATGAGATTTTGTGCAAATAATCAATGCAATCTTAAAAAGACTTCATGATATTAATATCAGAAAGAAACACCATTTAATTATATACGCTCATAACTGTCCCCCAATTTACATGTATTTACAATTTTGTAACATCAGTTTAATTATTCTTTATGAATAGTTGCATTACGTCAGATCTTATGGAATTGCAGGTTGAAACTTTATAATTTGAATCTACAAAACCAAACAATTCTTGAACGTTTTTACAACAATAAGTGGTAGACAATCCTTGATAATCATGTTTGTGATAGCAACAATTTTCTTTCCGGCTCTGTTTTTTTTTTGTTTTTTGTTTTTTTTTTGTTTTGCATTTTGCATTTTGCGGAGAACTTACTTAAGAAGAGTTTCACTTGAAGACTGTGTTTACTATATGTATGTTTGACGGATTCGGCATATGATACATCATATTTGATGTTCCACTGCAGAATACAAGTTCAGTTTCACATAACCTTGATAACGTACTTTTAACTGTTTTTCCATCCTGAAATCTATTAAAGTATTCCAAAAAACTGTAGATTTTGGAGGCATATTTGCCGAACATAAATCGACGTACAGATAATTTCCTTTGAGCAGTTAAACCATACCTTGAGTTTTACTTTACGAGAACATTGATCTGTATATAAACGAAATGAGCGAATTCAAGTTTATTACCTTGAATTTAAAATTACTTTCAGGTAAAACATTTTTAACGAATAACCGACTAAAGAAATTTTAGTCGATACTCGGTATGATCGAACGATAGTCGAGTACTCTAATATTCGTTGACATCCCTAATATATATATATATATATATATATATATATATATATATATATATATATATATATATATATATATATATATATATATATATATATATATACACATGTATATATATATATATATATATATATATATATATATATATATATATATATATATATATATATATATATATATATACATTGTATATATATATCATTTAGTATTTTAAAAATCATGTATGGGTTTTAAAAAATAAATTACTTAACTATCTATCTGATAACATTTTTCAGTAAACATACAGTTGTATTGTGCCTATCACACTTCTCAGAGGCTGTGTATGTGGCAATGTGCGCCTTAGTGGGGACCCCACAAGAAGTAACCATAAGGAGAGATGTCTCAGACATTATAGACATTGTTAGGCATCAAGCATCAAACAGTCTTGATTACACGATGATGTCCAGTGGAAGTTTTCGAGAAGGATTCAGGATGAAGAGTTCAGATTATGATAGCATGCATTGGCCAAATAATCAGAGAGTAGTCTGGGATTTGTGCCAAGTTCAGTATTACGATATTCAGAGAAACACACTGATTCTTGCTGATACTTCTGAAAGCCCACCAGGATACGCTTTACTTTGGTTACCGATACCAAATAGAGCAGCCAAAAGTTTGTCATCCGTTGTTTTCAGAATGAATAATAGAGTTTATATATCTAGTTCTGCTTACAAGGAAACTTTCTTTTCACCAATGTGGCCTGGTTCTAATGTACACGGACCGTGTCATAGTGGATTTTACGGTGGTTTGATCGAATATGACGAGGCTTACTGTTTGGCATGTGACTTTTGGCCCCCATCTGCCTCCTCATGGATAGCACGATGTCACTCATGGCCCAAATCTCATGTTGTTCGTGACATAGTCAGTCATGGGTGTCACTTTGTTGCAATAGGCCATAAACTTGGAAATCATGAAGATGAAGAATGGAGGATTTCTTTTTCTTTGGCGGAGCAAAAACTTGTCTACTCAATGAACCACTGTCAATTCTTAACGTACGGGATACTTAAACTGTTCATGAATGATGTTTTGAACAGCAACCACGTTAGTTCAGATAAGCTGTTGTGTTCATATTACATGAAGACAGCAGTTTTTTGGGTGCTTCAAAAAAACATAATATTTCATTGGTTTCCTCAAAACCTCTTGGATTGTTTCTGGGTCTGCTTTAAACTCATTCTAAAGTGGGTTTATAAGGGTATCTGTCCAAACTTTTTTATCCCAGAACATAACATGTTTCTGAATAATATCCATGGAGAGGCACAAAAAAAATTATTCATTAGAATGTATGCCTTGTATCAAAAGGGTGTATCATGCCTGTTCGAGAGTCACTCGATCAGGTCATATGTACATGTGATTCTTCAGAATCCAAAACTCTATAAATCTATAGAAGAACCCACTCTGCTGTCTGAAACTGAGTTAGATATACAACTGTTCAAAGAGATTTATACAAACCGTGTAAGTACAGCCGAATCAACCTTGAAAAGCTGCATTAAGTTCCTAAATGCAGTAGAATTCTTGATAGGCACTCCTTTGACACAATATCAACTTGTCAAAATAGAAAAACACACAGCTTGTATTCTTCAGAGCACTTCCTTTGTACTATACAATACGTTCACTGCATTTATATTACACAATGTGCAAGGTAAAGAAGATATTAACAAATTTAAGTACATTATTGACAAAATAGCACATCGAATGCTTCGACTGGCAGCGAAGTTTGGATTTATTTCTGATACGTTGTTTTTGGCAATGTATTACTACAAGACATATAGATACAAGGAAGCTTTAGCTGTACTGCAGATCATAAATGTCAAGACAGCACAACCATTTCTGATGCATCTTCAAAGTGTAAATGAGGAGAAGTATAGAGAGGCTATGGGGGGACTGTCATGGTCCACAAAGGCCAGAGAGGCTGTAATGAGCAATGTCTGTCTTTTCAATGATCTGTGTTATTTCAATGAGTTAATCATAGAACAGCAATCTAGTTTACAGAGTCCCTGGTACTTTTTATTCATACCACCCCTTGTATTGTTACGTATGCTAGAATTCCTATGTTACTCACATATTGACATAAAGAAGGCACAAACAGCCGTATATGATCTACAAGTTCTTGTTCACCATGACCAGGAAGTATTTCTAAAAGGGCTCAAAGACATCTCATGGCAGATTTTGGGAATCTGTCAACATATGACAGGCAATCTACAGGCTGCTCTTTACTCCTATCAACAGTCTCTCCGACAAGTCCGAGTAAACCACTTACAAACTGCTTCAATAATAAGGATTATTATATTAATTTACCAAGTGCTTCACAATTTGAAATATTTTCAGACTCGGCCGAATTTGGCAATGAGTAAATTATAGATATCAGAGAACCACCAGATTTTAAATTCAAGAATAAGAAAACGTCTTGGTGCAATAACTTGTCAAAACAATTTATGGAATTAAAAATCACGTGATACTCTTGTTTTTTCCGAGGGGTAGTTGTGGTGGGTTTAGTTGGTATAATTGCAAATAAGGAGTTGGGAATTCTATACATAAGGGTACATCAACTATATCCACCCTTTGATAAATAGGGATCGTATTGTTTTATCACCATTTTAACGTTTAATTGAGATCACAAGAGTTATCTCCCCTCTGTGTTGTTCATCCTTTACATGACACTTTCTATGCATATATCATCAAAGTGTACCTGTATATTTGTATTTTTGACCATTTACTCGACATACCAAATATATCTATCAAGTTATAGTAGTCCAGACCTAGAGTCTTTTCTACCGAATAGTGCAAATGAAGCACGAGATTTTTTAACGTAAAATATTGAATTTTTTTTATCAGTGCATATATATGATTCTTCTAGATCTATCTGGCAATATAAAGCAATTGGGGTCAACAAAATAATCAAGAAAAATTCTAGGTACATAATATATGGTTTAACAAAAACATAACGTATAAAGGAAACCGTCATTTCTTCCAAACTGGATCAAAAGTTGTTATAAATACGGGTTTAAAACAATAAATGAAATTAAAGAAAATTTAATATGTTCACAAAACTACCTTTGTGAGTACGTGATTGTAAAGAGTGCTCTTAAGAAACATATTCCAAAAATAAACCTGCAGAATAAAGTAAACGCAAGTAATTCACAGCTCTGCTTCAACTTTCAAGGATATTTTGAACAAACTGAGGGTAAAATATCTAAATTCTTCTACAATATCTTGTTACACAAAACATCAAAAAAACAAACAAACAAACAAACAAACAAACAAACAAACAAAAAACAAAAAAAAACTTTAATGGAAATATTTTGGTCAAAGCGATTCTGTATTGACGACTTCCATTTATGGGAAAATATTTACTAGGAACAAGTCAAAGACATATTTGATAAGAATGTGTCAGATTTTAACTCTAAATTGATGCATAACTTACTGACTTGTAACAAGTATGTAAGCAAATGGAAAAAAAGACTTAGATAAAAACTGTTCGATTTGTAATGCAGAAGAAGACATAAAGCATCTTATTTTTGATTGCCGTGTAGTAAAACCTATTAGCAGTAAAATATCATTGCTTTTAAATATAGATGTGTCATTGAAAGTTATTGTCATTGGTTTTCCAGCATATTGTAACAAAAGTACCTTTGTTCTAAACAATATATTGTCTTTCGTTGCCTACAAAATATATAAAAATAAAATGAAATGCAGACTTTTAAATGAGACTGTTACTAATGAGAGTTCAATGTGTTTCTTAAAAATGCACTTACTCAGTTTTATTTCATAACAAAATTAACAAAAAGTATTGCATGTGATTTCAAAATCATCAAAGAGTTGTCTGAAAAATTGTGATATTATCTATTTATCCAAAGGCGGCCTGGCCTTTGGAGTATACAATCGTAGGGGGGAATTGTGGACTCTATGAGTTGTGGCTTGGTGCCCCTACGATTATATCTTGTGAAATTGCTATAGTTTTCTTATATATAACGCTAAATTATATATTTTAGAGAATATTCTTTTAAAAAATGTGCTATTATCTTTACATGTAGTTGTATATTTTTTCTATCGTCCTATGTTATTGAAGTGCATTTTAATACATATTTATTAATTTTGATATGATGTAAAATTCTCAAAATATATGTACATTTAGATGTATCAAATTTCAATTTTTTCTATCTGATCCAGGGAGCTCCTGGCACCCCAGGTGATGATATATTTGTGAGGACCTCTGAGGAGGCATTACCTTTACTTTTTTGCTAATAGATTATTGCAATAAAGAATTGAGAGAGAGAAACACACACACACACACACACATTTGCATAGCAAATTAACGATGTATGTTTTGTACACATATAAATGTGCATTCTATCTAAAATAAAAATGCTTTTCTTTTCGGAAAAAAAATATGATTGTTTCCTCAAAACCTCTTGGATTGTTTCTTGGTCTGCTTTAAACTCATCCTAAAGTGGGTTTATAAGGGTATCTGTCCAAACTTTCTATCCTAGAACATAATATGTTTCTGAATAATATCCATGGAGAGGCACAAAAAAATATTCATTGGAATGTATGACTTGTATCAGAAGGATGTATCATGCCTGTTCGAGAGTCCCTCGATCAGGTCCTATGAACATATGATTCTGAAACCCACTTTGCTGTCTGAAACTGAGTTTGATGTAAATCTCTTGCAAGAAAAATCATACATGTACAAGTGAACCAACCTAGGAAAACTGTATGAAGTTACTACATGCAGAAGAACTTTTGATAAGCACTCCTCTGACTCAGTATCAACTTGTGAAGTTAGAAAACCACCAAGCTTTCATTTTTCAAGCATTGCCTTTGTTTTGCATTTATGTTACACGATTTGGATAAAAAGCAAATGTTAACAAGGTATAGTACATTGTAGACAAAATACGACATCGGATGGTTATGAACTTGCAGCAAAGTTTTCCAATGGTTGTATTTCTGACAAGTTGTTCATTGCAGTGTATTATTACAAGACTTACAGATACATGTACAAGGAAGTCTTAGCTGTTTTAAAGATAATTAACGTCAAGTAGGCACAACCATTACTGATGCATCTTCAAAGTGTAAATAAGTATAGAGAGATTATGGAGGACTGTCATGGTCTATAAAAGCAAGAGAGGCTGTAATGAGCAGTATATTTCTTTTTCATAATCTATTTTATATCACTGAGTTAATGATCGAACAGCAATCTAGTTTTCACAGTTCGTGGTACTTTTTATTCATTCCATCCCTTATACGCATGCTAGAGTTCTTGTCCTACAAACATATTAACACAAAGAAGGCACAAGGGTGAATTAAAAAAAAATGACCACCAAACTGAAATTTTTTGGAAAAATTCAACTACTTCTAACATATTTTTCACTTATATCATCATATTGCACATGCATTCTAGTTTAAAATCCTAAAGTGGCAATAGAATAGACAATTGGAATAAAAAGTTTCAGAATTTTTATTAGTAAAATTTCTTTTGAAAAAAAAAAATATCATTACACCTTAAAAGACTTTCTAAAATACATAATCACAAGAAATTATAGTTTTTTTATGCTTCAAAATGGTAAAAGAGATATAAATGATTAAATCTAGATCTTGATTGAGTATCTTCTCTTGTATGTGTGACAAAAAAATTGACTTTTCGATTGTTATTTTACAATATTTTTTCAATTCTGGTTTGAAAAGTTTTAATATGAAAAAAATATGAAGCAATAAGTCGCCCGCGTGGCGCAGTGGTTAGAGCGTCTGCTCTAGAGTCGCGAAGTAAGGAGTTGATCCTTACGTCGCGGGTTCGAATCCCACTGTGGGACGTGGAGACCGGTCCTTCGGATGAGACCGTATAAACCGAGGTCCCGTGTCGCAGTAGGTGCTGGCACGAAAAAGATCCCTCACTGCTCAATGGCCGTAAGTGCCGAGTATAGGACAAAATTTGCAGCTCTCCACCGGCAAGTGGTGGCGTCTCCATATGAGTGAAAAATTCTCGAGAGGGACGTTAAACAACATACAATCAAACAAAAATGAAGCAATAAAATTCCCAAAATTTCACATTTTTGTCCGTTCAAGCCAATTCCTTTAAAACTAAGCCAAAAAAGAATTTTTATAAACAAGTTCTCTTACAAAAGATACTAGATTTTGAAGTGACCCTATGTTACATTATTGTGTTGCACTCCTGACATCTGATATGTATTTTATTTAACAATTTGTTTTAAAAATAACCCATTCTTACTTTGTAAAATAATTCGTCGTTTTGATATTTTTGATCGTTTACGGCAGGTTTTTCATATTTTGAAGACCTTAACACAAGATTATTTGCAAAGTGTAATATATATATAAATTGTATATAAAACTATATGTGAAATGCTGAAAACTATTCCCTGAATTGACTAGAAAATTTCTGTAATTTGTTGATAGACATAGTGTTTTGAACATCAAATAGTATCAAACTTTTTTTTTCAACTCGTTTTTTAGTAAAGATAGTTAAAAAGCATTGGTAATTATAAAGCAGTTTTGTTGCACTCCTGACTGAGTAAAATTTAAAATTAAAACTGTAGAACACAAAAATTCATAAAGTGTTGGCAACATCAAGTGGTAATGAAATTGTGGAATATTTATAGTCCAATACTTCATAATTAAAACAGATGAAAGTATTTGAAATTCGCATTTTATCTGGAATTATTCTCTATTTATGCCAAAAAACTAGCTTAAATGTATATTTAGAAGATAAAATATTTTTATTGCATATTTTCCTTTAGAGGACAAACACAGTAACCCACCAGAAAAATTCTACTCATCATTTTTTCTTTATTTTTATTCTTACTGGATGATTTATAATTCTAACATATTTGTTGCACTCCTGACCAAAAGCATTGGGACCTTTAAAGTAGAATTGTGAAGTGAAAATTACATAAGAACTTGTTCTGTTGTTTCAGTGAAGTTGAGGAGGAATTACTTGAATTTTATGACAATTTTTAGTGTGTTTATTTTTAACATTAATTTAAAAAATCACAAAAAAGATAAAAACACACCTGAATTGATAAAATTGAAAAAAGAAGGATTTTAATAATAAAACTGTCAATAATTTAGTATTAAATTATACAAAAAGAACATTATTAATTAATGAATACGTCTAAGCATGAATATAAATGTTTTCGTCACACAACTTGAATCTTTAAAAAAAATGTGTTGCACTCCTGACCATAGAAATATAGATCTGAAGCACACACAGATCCGGTAATTGATAAATCTATTTGGTAAAAATGTTCTTTGTGTCTTTCTTTTCCAAAATAAAAATCAGAAAATCATATAATGATAATAGTTTTTTCATGCTTGGGAGCAAAACATCAAATGTTGCACTCCTGACATTATTGGGTATGCACATATACTTGACTCTAATTAATGCTGCTTGTGATTTATGTAACATTTTTAAGTTTTAGAATGTATATCAGTTATTGTTCTACACTTTTAAAATTCTTTTTTGTCTTAATTTTCTTTCAGAATTTTACAATTGATGTTTTTTTGGCAGCACTACATTTTTTCTGTTGCACTCCTGACATGGTATAACATTTTTTTTAAACATCAGCCATGACCACAACTTGATTAAACAAAAGTTACTACAGCCCACATTTAAAGCTCAATACTTTGAATATTATCAGGAAAGTCTTTATTTTCAACTTAAAGCATTATAATTTATTTCACAGAGCTCCAAAAAATATTGAAATTTCAAAATGTCACAAAAAAGGTGTTGCACTCCTGACAATTTTGGCATCATTTTTGGGCATAACTTTTTTTGTTAATTGAGATATCAACGAGATATTTGGCAGGTATTTAGACACTATCTAAACACATATTCTGAGACATAGAAATCTATTTTCACTGCCTGTACTTTTAGTGTGGGTTGATAAATATGCGTTTGGTCATTTTTTTAATTCACCCACAAACAACCGTGTATGATCTGTAGGTTCTTGTTCACAATGATAGGATCGTATTTTTACATGAAAAACCTAAAGACATCATGGCAGATATTGGGGATCTGTCAACATCTTTAAGTCTGTCATCCCTCTGACATTTTCGAGTAAACCACATACAAACTTCAATGATAAGTATTACTGTGAATATATTAATTTACCAATTCCTCTACAGTTTGTGATATACTGTACATCACCAAATTTACACGACAAGAAGGTAAAATAATTTATAAGCGAGACAAAATTTTAAATATCACGAACTTTTGATATCCTCATATAATTTTAAATAAAACAAATGCACGGAAGAATGAAATTTTCGCGACCAGACTGTCCTGCATAATTGCGAGAAAATAAAGATCACACTAATAAAAAGTGATTTACTGCACTGACACGAGAAATTTTGGGGAATATTTATAATGGGTCTATCTTCCTCTCTACAAATTTAGTTGCAATTTTTAATTTTCGAAAGGATTTTTCAAGTGCATATGCAGGTTTATTTTGCAATCCAGCAAGCGCACTTTTAAAAAGTTTTATCTATATTATTTTATCTTCTTTAAAATGTATTTTCAATTAAGTCCACAGTTTGATTAAAACATGCATCTGGCAATATTACAGCAGTTTGATGAACAAGTTATCATAAGCAAAAATGATCAAATGCGAAATAAAATTGGAATAATTTCCTTATATATTAAAAATGAGCAGATTATTTTAGCGCGCTGTGTTCATTAATCCACTGTATGTTGTTACTGTTGGTTCATCTTACTAATTGTATTCTATCGAGTTTAGTTCTGACCTTAAGAATTTCGTAATGTAGTCGCCACCACAAATCTCCACTAAAATGTTACACAACGAGTAGAGTGGTTGGGAGATAGAACAAACTTTATACCATTCTTTTTCAACTACTCTTTAGAAATTCATCATACAGATAATCAAAAATCTAATTTTAAAAATACCACTCAGGTAACCTTGAAAAAAATGCAACAATTCTTGTGTACCTCAAAAGATGTGATTTTAATGACCTTCTGTAGATTATAATGATTAAATATTTATTTAATTCCTGAGCTTTTTGGTATGGGTATGTTATTTGTGATGTATATTTCTATATTTATTCAATATAAACACAAAGGTTAGTTAAAATCACTGCTTCTTTTGTTTTTGACAAAAGGATTTAGCACTGGTTCATTTATCAGTGCGACTTAAATTAGTGTGTAATTTAATTTTAAAAATCTTGTTTGTATTCACGTGAAGCAGAATTTAATCAAAAACTTATACATAAGAAGAAGAAACTTGCTGTGGCCTTCAGTTAGACATTTAGATACATGTATATATCGACGACGTATTATCAATTAACAATTAGTTACTTTCATTCATTTGTCGACTCGATATATCACAGTGAACTTGAAATAAAAGATATCACAAAGTCTGATATATATATATATATATATATATATATATATATATATATATATATATATATATATATATATATATATATATATATATTTCATATCTGGATATTTTACTAGTAAAAGACGTTAATGGTATATAACCTACAATGTAACAACAAAACTTTATGATAAACGTGATGACCAACTTTTCTACCGTCAACTTCCCTTACTTATGTATCAATATACCTTACCACCTGCATATGAGGTTTATATCCCCCAGTTGATTATGATATGCAAGAGCATGCTCCAATTTCTAAAACGAGGCAAGCTATTGACAAACAAGTTGATGAAACAGGGATATCAACAGTCTCGTTTAAAGTCAGTATTTCGCATGTTCTATGGTCGATATAATGACCATGTCAGCAAATACAATATATCATTAATTCGAATGTTTACTGACGCTTTCATACTAATTGTTAGGCCATTACTTTAACACTGAATTTTCGACGGATTTTTTCGTTTGCCCGATCATGACAATGAGCACACGGCGGGTGTAAACGGTCGACAAGGGAGGCTTACTCCTCCATGGCACTTGATCCCGCTTTTGATGTATTCAAGAGGTCCGTGTTTGCTCTGCTCCCGATTTGTATTGTTTCAATGGAGTTTTGAGCTTCATTACTGTTTCTTATCTCCATATTTTTTCATATATATATATATATATATATATATATATATATATATATATATATATATATATATATATATATATATATATATATATATATATATATATATATATCACATAATATAAAAAAGGAGAAAGGTAGGATAATCACGAATTCAAACTGCACTATAGTCACATCCCAACATTCAAAGCTATTATATTATTTTGTAGTAAGATTATATTCTATAAATTTTTATAAGATAGAAAATAAAGCTTTTCTGTCAAATATGTACATGTTTCCCATTTTGCAAAATCCAAGCCATATAATGATTTTTTTAAAGTGGTTATGTTTAATGTAAATTGCATAAAATAATAAAATCTAACAAAATGTCAAAGATTTAGTGTTTATTGTGATTTTTTTTACAAATATAAAGTGCACCAAAATAATACCAAGAATCAATTCCCTGTGAATGTATTGCGTACGTACACAAACAAGTACGAGTATTCTACAGCATATGTACCACCTTTAAATAAACATTAGTACAGAAATTCATGCTCCCTGTAGCACCCCTTCATACAGTTTTTGACTATGCCATTTCCACCTATGCAATATCTTTGATTATTTCCTTTCAAACCCTAAATTATCAAGGAACTATCACAAAACGCCTTACATTTCACGGATTATCATGTCAATTTTGAATTTACTAGGTGGAGGTAAATGCAAAATATACAACATAATATGTTATCATGTTAATTTTGCATTTACCTTCACCTAGTAAATTCACAACATGATAGGGTTATGAATTAAGGGGTCATCAACGATTAAAGCACAAAATATAGATTGTTTCAATTTGCACATGCATGTACTGTGTGATTACGAACCATAAATCGACCTTTGCTTACACATACACAGAAGATGAATCGCTTTCATACATGTTTACAGTATATTTCAAATGATGAATCCGGCATACTGGTTGAAAAATATTTCATTGAATGTTAAAGAAAATAATGAATTTTATGAGATATTATATGAATTATTAACGACACGAAAATAGATCAGTAAGTTTAAATACTTCGGAGCATTTGTAAATATTGAGTAAAGCAACTTGGTTGCATAAGAACAAAACTTTGATCGATCAACCTTTGATCGCAGTCGCAAGGAATACCGAATCGGTGGTAAGCACCCTGATAGCTATGCAGTTGTTGCATTTTAAGGACTATGTATATTGGAGGTCCGCACTAATTATGACTAGAATTTACTTTAATTGGTAGATATGGACCCAACCTTTATAATACTGAGAGACAGCAAGGCGGTGAGTATCATCATCATAGGCAATGCTCTCTGGGTCGTACCCCAGACTTGGCAACAATTTCATAAGATGCCCCTCTTTGGTAAGAACACACAGTTTTTCTCCTGTAATGGCAACTATAACATGGTTCCCCACTACACATATCCCTCTTGGTTTCCCTGGGAGCTCTTTCTCCCAGTAGAGTTTCTCCGAGTATGACACACAGAGCAGCATATCTCTATGAACATCGGAGAGATACATCACATTTCTGTTCGGGTCCATTGTTAAGTACAAGTGAAACGCCTTGAAATGAGTTTCATTTGGTCTTTGAATCTTTTCAACCTGCTGAACAACTTTTCCTTCGTCATTCAGTAGAGCTACACATTTGCTTTCTCCTCCAATATTAATAGTGACACCAAAATGGGATCTTCCGAAAGAAACACCATATCCATTTCCGTTTAGTACAAAACACTTTCCTTCACTTATCGTTTTCTCGTTGATTCGGTAATTATAAACTCTCTTGTGACACGTGATTACTACGTCATTAACATCTGCACCAACCGAAATTCCACGACAACCTTCGGGAACTTGCTTGCATATTGTTTCCTGAAAATTTTCATTGAATACTTTTAGTTGTTCATTTCCGAAGTTAATGATAACCAGTCGACCATCTGTTGTCCAAACGACTCCTTTTCTATTAAAATCCCGTTCAGCAGATTTCAATTTCTTGATTTCGGTGATTTCGAAAAGTAAAGGTTCTTCCGGAATAGTGGCATCACTGTTGCTTCTGGAGCGCGAGGTGCTAAAACTGGGAAAACGATCTCTTCCATGTGGGAATGCGAATGAAACTGGAGAACCTCGAGGAATTTCGTCACTGATACGTCTCACAGAGATCGCTCCTCTGGGTACCCTTTCATAAGACAAACTCCGAGAGAGGAGGGACTTTTCACTGAAGGGTCTCTCTGATCTTCTTACCGGTGATCGTATTGGTGGTGACAAAGAGTTCTGTGACGATGAACGCGTTGGCGGAGACGCAGAGCTTTGAGAGGTTGGTCTTCTTTCTGGTTTTCTGCCCTGGGGGTTAGTTACAGCTTTGATTGAAATTGGTTTGGAGTCGGTAGAACTCACTCGACGGGACTTCTCGTCTCTGGAGGAGGAAGCTGACCTGGATGATGGGTTTCTTGATTCATTTTGGGACATCGTGCTCTGACAAATTTAAATCCAGGACCAATCAACCTATTAGATTAAAAATTTTATATTTGTAGTGGCATAAAATCGATGTGCACTGATCTGCATTTGTATGAATAATTGTATTCCGCAAAAGAAGTATATTAATAAGCTCTATAGAAGCAGATAATTGGTGGATTATGTTATTTTTACAATATCTTATGTACATATCAGAAAACGAGATTTATTTGAAGCAAACCTCGTCGATTTTTTTTCATTATACAATTAGTACCCCTAATAAAGCTGTATATTAATATTGCGACACTAATTTGAATATATTGTACTGTATTTTGGTGTGGTAAAAAGGGGGTGGGGGAGTGTTGAAATCAACAACGAATCAAGAACGGGACGAAAATGATTTTGAGAATCTGATAGCGCACTCTATGATAGCACTCCCTGTAGATCACTCAATGTATTTTTAAACTAGTAACTTAATAAAACGTGAATTTATCAATGCAATCTGACATTCACACGTACGTTCGGTTGTCTTTTCGTTTTGTCACTCTGAAGAAAAAAACTGTTTACAGAATGTCAATGAAAAACTGTTTATTTACAGATGTTAAAAATCGCACTGACCTTAATCACTCTGCGGATGTACATAATTCTATCTCAAATCTTAAGTCCGATTTCAAGTTACCATTTTACACCTGCACATCTTGTTGAGAACATTCACTATGTATGGAGTAGAGACTGCAGATATAATGCATTCTTGACTTATTTTGTGCGTCCCTCTCGTGTATATACTTTGAATATTCTAAAGAGCTTTAAAATTAAACTTCTGGAGGAATTCCAATTCAATGTAAACTTTTTACCTTTCAATTGTTAATCTCTTTCAAACGTAATTTAAACCAACTCTGAGCAATTTAATAAATATTGAAATATTATTTTACTTCTCTATCTATATCGTGTGTATATACATGTATTTGGTTCGTGGAAAATCTTAAGACGTAGGCCTATTTGTATATTCATTCAAATTAAAAAGTCACATCCTAAAATAGTTTGGAAATCTGTTTCATTTTGGGATTTATTTTTATTAAGAAATCCTCAATAATTTCTAGTGCTAAACATGATTTATGAAGATTGAAAGGATTTCAAAAGGAACCGTTTTCTTAAAATTCAAATAATGGATGATTTGATTTTTAAAAAAAAAAATTCTTGATCTTATTGCCGACAGACTGATTAATGTTGATCTGTATATGAATATAATAATACCGGATTTGTGGTTGAGACGCGTCATTGGATTTCTATTTGTGCAGTGTGCATTTTAAATACTTGAAATCTCGTATTGTAAAACTCGGTTAAATCCTTTCAGCTCTGTCAAATATCGGTCGAATTTACTACACTACTAAATAGACCTATGTAAAATTGATTTCTGTGCAAGCTAGATTAAATAATTTGGATTTCGTTCACAAGTGAATTACATAGCAACGCATACTCCGTAAATGGCGGTTTAAAAAAAATGTTCCTGTTTATCTTCCATTTATATGCAGTATCCGTGTTTGAATGAACGCAGGGCCTAATTTCCACTTCATTGGGACACCTGTCCATTCCCAAATCTAATACAATACTTTTATCAACCCGGGAGAGAGAGAGATCGAGAGATCAGATGTCAGTTGATTTCCAACTTATTATATGACTATAATGGTGAGGGTGGCTTTGATCTACTGACGATCAATCAAACAAAAAGCGAGTTTTTCTGTGCCACTATCTAAAACTTAAGCTTAAATTAATATTTTTTATTATTTTAAAAACCTCTTTGAATCTCGGGAACTTTGTACAAATTAACGGCTGTCCGATAGTCTGCATGTGATATATTTATGTCACACTTGACCACATTGTCTATCTATACTTTTAAAAAACATATTTCAAAATTGTTTTTTTAAAAACTGAAATTACTTTCTACGTTTTCTAATTTTCGGATTTTTTTTCTGTGGTAGAAACGTTCTAAATTCTTTAATCTTTTATGCATTATCGCCAAAATACATGACTATATTAACAATACAATCAAAGAACCACGCGTGAGCTTTTTTCAGGCCCGTTGAGCGCGAGGAGGCCAGCCCCTCCCCCTTTTTAAAAAAAAATCAGCAATCAAAATACACGTAATGTTATCTGACAAGTTTACCAGGTTTTATTCAAATCGGAAAAAAGGTAGGAGTACTAACCTTTTAAAATAATTTAAGGAATACATTCATCGATTTCTTAATTTTTTTTTTCTTTTTTTTTTTTTTTTTTTTTTTTTTTTTACAAATGTATTCTAGAATTATGCAGCTTTATATACAGTGCAGTATAGTCTTGTACAAAAAATGTACTACTCCCATTTTTGAAACCAAAACTATAGAAGTGAAATAAAAAAAAATCCATTCATGATATATCATCACCACTACCTCCCCATTTTACTGGTTTTTATTTTATTGTTAAACATATTCTCAATCCTTCAATTAAACAGAATCTTAGGTTAATGCTTACAAATAAATAATTAAATGATTGGCTAGATAATAATAAACTAGTTTCTTTCTAATCATTATGTAAATTTGAATTTTTTGATCTATGTTTATAAATATGAATTTTGAACCACCCTTCTTAGGTCTATTCAGCTATGAAACACACATTTATTATATTTCAATCTTTGTTGTTTGATCAATAATAAAGAAAAAGGAGGTGTGTGTCATTAATTAAGTTCTCTCTTGTTGGGAAGAGATAATTGCCCTCCATATCACAGCTTTAAATTGCAATCAAAACAAAACTCCTCTAAAGAGATATTCATTCCATGATTTAGAAGACAAAGCCAATGGAGATAATTATTTCAGTTTAAATTGTTCAACATAAATAGCAATTTAAGATGTTCAGGTTACCTTCAAAGTAAATATTTAATTTGAGGGGTTACAGTTGCGACTCATTTTACTCTATTAAAATACTCACTTTTAATCAAATATCATAAGCCATGCAATTTGTGTACATGTAGGTTTTGTGTGGTGGAAACTGCATCAAACTGATCGTGGATAGTTCTTTAAGAGATTCTTATTGTTTTGTAAATAAATGTTTTAAATTAAACCACAATGATACACAATGCCTATAGATTATACAATTATTGCTGGTTTTTGAGGTCAATACGATGATTTAGACACCTGAGGAGTACAATTGTACTTCGAAGGTGTCTAAATCATCGTATTGACCGAAAAAACAGCAATAATTGTTTTATTATATGATTCAATGATTAAATGACACACACTCATTAAGCAATCCGTGCCATCTTACTTGTTCACATCTACTGAAGTACTAGCCGAATATCAGAGAAACGGAGTTAAAAAACCAGTTGTATTATTTTGAAATTTTTAATTCTAGTTTAGGTGCAATGTAGAAAAATAAATGTCAGGTACATATATAGGATTAATTTTGAAAAAGGGGGCATTAAAAGGGAAAAAAAAATGACAACGTACCTGAAAACAAATCTTTGACTAGCCCCCCCCCCCCCCCCCTAAAAAAGGAAAAGAATTCTCCCAAATTAAAATTTTATTTGGTGGGATGTAAAGGTACATAAACCTTTCGAGGGGAGGTGGGGCTTACAATGAAATTTTTTATCCTTAAAATTTAAATTAAAACTTAACATTCTCAAAAGGTGGGGAGAGGGGCAGGACTCCTGCACCCCCCCTCCCCGACCCCTCACCCAAGAATCTATGTGCCTTAATGTTATGTTCATATGAGTGGATGTCATATGCAAGTGAAATAACTTTCCAAAACTATTTGCATCAATTTGGAATTTCCCTATCTATTTTTAGTCCAATGTAGAATAAATAATTCCTTATATTGACCTGGAAGATCACGTGCAGGTCAATATAATGTAGTATTTTTCTAACATTGTTGGATCTCAGCCAATCAGAGAGATGGGAATTATTCAATCATATAATAAAGCATATTATTTCTTGTACTGTTTGTGCAGAGGCTGAGCTTATATACAAAAAAATGATGTTCTGTATAATCATTGAAAAGGATTATAAAAGTTTTCAAAAAAATTAAAAATGTAATTTTTAATTTAATTAATTACTTTTGCAAAGTAATTGTAATTTAATTAATTACATGTCTTAGAAAGCCTGTAATTTAATTGTAATTTAATTGAAGAAAAAGTCAAAGTAATTGTAATTTAATTAATTACTTTTTAAAGTAATTGACCCATCCCTGATATCTAAGCACTGTAAGGTTTGTTTATAATTGAAAAGTTCGGAAGCAACAGTTTGGGAATATCTGTAGGAAATGCAGGGTGTAGATTTCAACTTGACAAAAATATTTTATTCAATTCAACTGAATTTTGATTCGACGAAAATTTATATGATAAACATGCAGGGTTTTTTCACTAATTAACAATGACCATATACTCATCGTTAATCGAAAATATTGTTTATTAGTGAAAGACTTACAGAAGCAATTATGACATATATAAAGCATCATATATCAATCATTTCAGGAATTTCAGGAAATCTACATTAAAACCATTCCAGTCAGGCAAGAGTGGGGAGAGGAACACCTTCACTCACCCAAGGTTCCGATCCCTGAAGTTGAGGGAGGAATAGAGTGTATCTGAACTCTTGGCTAGACTCAAATCCGGTTAAACTAACGAGGTAGAACATTCGAGAAAAAAAATCTTTACGGACAAACACACGAAAATCAAAACTAAGGAACAGGCACTTTGCGAAATCATAAGTTTATCTGGTATCCAATTAATCGAGCTAATAAACAATAAAATGAGGGTTCTCTAAGTTTATGGTTTTATAACAAAGGCGCAGATCCAGGATTTTTTTTGGGGGTGGGTGGGTGGGGGGTGATTGAGCCGATTTCCGTCACTTCTTCCTACCAGCTTAAGAGAAGTCACATTTTGTTGGGGTGGGGTTAAAGACATCTTTATTTTGTAACTTTAGGCTACTACATATATGTCCATTAAATACTTGCAAATTCGCCCCCAATCCACGCATGTAACCATACCAGTAATACATTGAATTTACTACACAGAAAATGAGAAGGGGTTTTTAACATCGTTTAATCATGTTCAATTGTTAATTGTCATGGCTATATAAGCATACATTTACATGTATACACATGTACATTACATATTATTGCACTCTTTATATAAAAATAACTGAACAGGATTGGAGCTATCCCGAGTTGGAGAAAAAAAGGTTTTCATGTACTAAGCTCCACGTCATAAATGTGATTTTTTTAATACTGCAAACTGGTCTTAAATATTTTCGGCCGGTTATATCTGTTTTTGATACGCCAGTATGTATCAGTGAAGTGATTAAAAGTTTGCGTTTTACAAATATAAAATTTTTTTTTAAAGACAGTCCCTTTCTTGAAACAACAAATCTTTTTCATTCTAAGTATTTCAAAGCTATAACATGCAGTATTTAACCACTCTTCAAGTGTAATGTACCGCGGTAAAATATTACCAGTAATTAGGGCCCTGTCACACCAAGCTGCGTCCACACGGAGTCATTACGGCGTTGTAAAAATGTTAAAATCGCAGTGGAATCGCAGGGAAATCGCACAAATTTCTGTAAAATTTTTACAATGTGAAGATGTCGGCGTCCCTACGGCGACCCACGCGTTTCTACGGCGTTCTCGCGGCGTGCTACTGCGTTCCCAACGGAGATCTCTTCGCGATTGACTGCGCTTCCGCGGAGCTTTTACGGCGTGTTAGGAGTTGTCACCTCGCGTTCACGGCGTTCTCACTGCGCTTGCTGCGTTCACAATACGTCCACGATGCGTTCTTCACTATGGATATATATATTCAGAAGGAGTGTAATAACACATTTTTTTTAAAGATTCGACTCACATAACGAAAAGACTTCAAAAATGATATATTTGAATAATTTAGTACTAAATTACTGTTAGTTTTATAATTAAAACTCTTCTTTTTTCAATTATATCAATTCAGATGTATTTTTTCTTTGATTTTATTTTGAATGTAAAAAATAAACACACTGAAAAGTTGTTATAAAATTTAAGTAATTCCATCGCAACTCCACTGAAACAACAGAACAGGTTCTGGTGTAACTTTTACTTCCCAATTCTACTCCCATGCTCCTGGCCAGGAGTGCAACAAATACGTTAGAATTATTGCTGATCAAATATGAGACCATTGCTCTTGTTTTGTGAGCTGGCTGACAACGCTCTAACAACGCCGTGAAAGCGCATTGTGATCGCCAACGTACGCGCAAGGGAGCGCATTGATCGCAGTGACAACTCCTTGTTGTCGCTGTGTAATCGCAGTAAAAAAAAATCACAAGACAATTAATCTCATTAGAAGTGCCGTACAAGCGTGATAGAAACGCCGTGACATCTCCAAGGACTCCGCGAGGTCTCCGTGGAAGCGCAGTCTACTATCACTGCGTTCATGCTGCGGTCATGTGCGTCTTCACGGCGTGCGTACGGAGCTCCCACTGCGTTGTTGGAGATCTCACCGAGCTGCTACGTCGATCATACTACGTTTCTACTGCGTTCTTATCAGACGGCGATCACACGGCGCGTACTTTGTGCATGCCCAAAGTGCGCGCCGTCCCCTGGCGTTCTAGGAGACCCTACGCGACCCTACCGCGTTCAGTGGAGATCTCGCCGCGTTGTCACGGCGCTGTAGGAGACTCTACTCCGCTCACCTCGGCGTTTTGCATTTTTTATGGACGCCGTGCGATCGCCGTGAGGACGCAGTCCCGGTGTGACAGGGGTTTAAATGGGCGATGTTGCAATCCTAGTGTAGGTTTGATAATTAATGGGTGTAACCATTAGTGTACAAGAAAAATTATCCTTGAAGCATAAAATTTCATTACAAACAGAGTTGATACACCACTTATTTACGCTTGGTAAATAAAAAAAATTGTACACTGCATGACCGAAAACACTTTAGTCAGAGTAGTAACTCAACTGAACCTATGGCTCATAATATGACTTTTTGGTGAGCAAAATCAAAATTATAACAAAGACAAATTCATTCAACAGATTTAAATTTATTATTTCTTAAATCCTAATAATGCACTTGTACACAAAATGAATACACAAAATAAATATAATATTTTTTTCTAATACTAGTATTTGCTTTAAGAAATTCATACATGTACAGCATCCCGTTTTCGTTTAAAAAAAAAAGCAAGTCCCTGTTCAATTAAGAATTGTGCAAATGGTAACATAGCTATATTTACAAGCTAACAACTGATGGCTAAATTGTAAAACATTCTAACGATTTCTTGTAAGTAAGTTAGATTAAATCTCTTGATAAAAACAATGAAAAATAATGTTTACAAATACATGCATGTACCCTGTTGAGTAATAATGAGATTGGAAGAACACTAAACAATAAATGCATCTCTAGAGAAAATCCTACAAGAGCAAATCAATGATCTGTAAAGGTAAATCAATGTTCATGACCTTTGACCTTCATGTTTTTTTTTTATCTGACCCAAAAAAAGGAAGTAAGCTCAAAAGTTCTTGGCAGATAAACACACACTGATTAACAGAGAGACCGAGTCAAACTGAGCAATCTTCAGTCTCAAGGGTTCAACAATTATAATAACACACAAATAACTAAACTACTTAATGTGCAATAACACAGGAAAACACTTTTAACAGTTTTAAAATACCAATAATCTTAACATATTTCATAACACACAAACACATGTTCATTCCAATAATGGACTTTTCAAGGGAGAACATAAAACAGTTCAATAACTTACACATTTTATCATATATTTGTAGCTCTCTGTAACACTTTTGTAAATAAAAACACTGGAGGCAATGAAACATAGCTGCAGGGAGGGGTAAAAATGAAATAAATACATTCATAACTTGATTACTCTCTCTATATAAAATTATATATATTATTTTTACTGTTTAATTCAATCTGATTGGTTTGCTCAATATCACATGTAAAGTTATATGTTTCACAATTATGACTTGTTACTAAAAATAATCTAGATGTGTTTATAATAGTGAGAGGTCTTTACAAAATCTAATAATGAATTTGTTTGTTTCTGTTTTTGGTTCCAAAGAAAACAAGCATTCTGAGAGTATTGCATTAGCAATACTAGTCCCCTACCGGTAAGTGTAATCTGGTTCCCGGTAAGAATTGAAAATGCCTTAATTCCGTCAAAAATCAATGAAGCGGGACGAAATGCAAACTTGATCTATAAGTAATCAAGGTAAAGTCACATACCAAAAATCAGATCAATATCTGAAAGCGTTTAGAAGAAAATTGCGGAAAACCCGTAAAAATTGAAAAGGCCGTAATTTCGTCAAAAATCAATGAAGCGGAACGAAATGCAAACTTGATCTGTAACTCATTAAGATACACTCACATGCCAAAAATCAGCGCAATATCTGCAAGCGTTTAGGAAAAAAGTGCGGAAAACCAAGTGGGACAGACTGACAGACAGACAGAGGGACAGACGGACGGACAGACTCAGAGGAAACCTATAGACCCCTCCGGTTTCACCGGTAGGGGACTAATAATATAACAAATGTAGCCCTTTGATGAGGTCAATTCACAGATATATCGACTTCACAGAAAAGCATATCGAATTCGCACTTTGTGCTCATCGATATAATGCTTTTCTGTGAAGTCAATATACAGTGTATCTATGGATCAACCTCATCAAAGGGCTATTTTTATATTTTATATATATATATATATATATATATATATATATATATATATATATATATATATATATATATATATATATATATATATATAAAATTAAGTTCCTCCAAATCCATTTTTTTATGTTTGTATACTTGAATTTTGTTACAGTGGAATAATGATAGAACAATATCTAGTCTTTCTTCTGGCAAAACAAGCGAATTGAGATTTCAAACTGTAAATACATAGAGGCTAAAACATACCACACAATGTACTGACTCTGAAAATATAAATCTTGAACACAGAAACATATAAAAAAAAAAAGAATTTAAACTTTTCTCTCCTATCTGTATTGCTTGTAATAGTAATTCAAATTGCACTTCTAAATACATAAGTATTTAATGAAAATTTGAATATGGAAAAATGAGTGCAATGTGTTTAAACTGAGGAAACTATAAACTTAAGGTCCCAGGGATGAAAAATAAGGTTGTACACATTATCTGTCCAGATACACAGATAAAATAGATGTATTAAGGCAAGAATCATGCAAAAAAAATAGACAAAGTTTGAGAATCTTGAAAAGGAAATTTCATCTTAAGCTGCACAAGTTTTTGTTTTAAAAAATGCTTCATTAAATTTACAATAGGAAATATTCTTTTTTTTTTTTGCTTTCATTTTTTAAATAAAGATTCTTGACATTATATCCTTTTTCTGTATGAAAATGATCCCTTAATTTCTTAAAGGACATTGAATTGATTGGACTTGCTTACCGTACAATCAAATTTTGTTTCATAATTTACATATAATTTTAATATTTAATAACAGTGGAAAACAAATCTTATCAAAAAAATATATATATATATATATATATATATATATATATATATATATATATATATATATACCAATCATTTTCTTTTTCAAAATACAATGGTGATTGCTTTCTGAAAAATTTCAGTATTAGTCACAATCAGTTTATTCTAATGCCATAGTCTTACAAAAATAAAGCAGTAGTACATGTACATATGTATGATTTATATATTGTAACTAATGTGGATATATCTGGCAGATCTGGAAACTAATAACAAAATACTTAAGAAGGGGGATAAAAATCTAGAATAAAAAAGAATAAATATATCTGATCTGAAAAAATATACTTATACTATGAAAATTAAATGGTCCCTGGAACTATTACTAGAACTATTGCTAACTACCCCTCAGAGATTTTAGTTTCCTATTCATGCTTAGCTGTACCATTTGACAGAGAATTAATATCCTGAAAAAAAAAATAAGACACATTTTTTTAAAAAAAATTCAACATCTCTGTTTTGTTTTCAGAATTCTTTCAACTTTGAATTCAAAATCAGCATAAATATTACTGCAAACTGAAATTTGTTCCCACACAAGAAATATCCATGGGTTTTGCGCCCTTCTCTTACTTGCGAATAATTTCTCGCCACCAACTATTTATTTCATTGCATACAATATTTATGTAGAATAATTTCTTGGTTGCCAAAATTAGTCTTCCTGGATAGATTTCAAACAGACAAATCACGAATAAAAGTTGTCATGAATGTTGGTTTACAGTATTTCTACACACATATCATTTCTTTTTATTTTATATCTCTTTAAACATACACGTAAAGGTCAATGAGATATATAAATAAGCATGATAAAACAATAATAAACATTTATTGACTGGGTTTGAGGGCAACATGCATTTTGTCGGACCCAAGAACCAAACTGTTTGCCAGAGGCTGTTAGACCGAAGGCAAATGGTTTGGTTTAAGGGGTCGACAAAACACATTTTGCCCTCAAACCCAGTCAATAAATGTTTTGTTATACCTTTTTACTTTTTATTTTGATATAGCATGATGTAAATTTTGTTTACCCACACTGTGGTTTAAACTTGGTCAATTCCAAAAAGCTCTGTCGAACTCCTACGAATGCAAATAAGATACAGCTGACCCCGCCCACACTGTGAAGTAAGCGGTCCAACATCTCATAGACATATCCAATATCTCGGTCTTTGGTCAAACATCGATTTTTTATGATCGCTCAGTAAAACATTGGAAGTGTTAGACTTTTTTAAGTACAGAATTATATAGGAAACAATTTTTAAAGGTATAACAATAAATTTTATAAACATTTTATCAATGTACTTACATCTTTAACAATCTGTTTCAACTGCTCATATGCTGTGTTTAAATCATCATTAACAATTATGTGATCATAGGAGCCAGGCTGCTCAGCTGTCAATGATAAAAAAAAAATAAGCTTCAATATTATACATAGAAACATGGTGAAATGAAACAGAAGCTTGGGAGAGTGAAGATATATATATATATATATATATATATATATATATATATATATATATATATATATATATATATATATATATATATATATAATGATTTTGTAACAATAAACATCCAGTGACGCAGCTAATTTTTATTAAAAACGATATACTTTACACTTTTGAGAAAAACTGTTTTCTATCATCTATGAAGAAGATATAGTTGGTCAAGTTTTATAATCTGAGAAACATACACATCCCTAAAGAATAACTAAATGTTAGTATCTCTAAATCTTGTTAATTTTTATAGTAGTGAAATGCTTTGAATAAGTTCTGAGCAAGGAAAACACACAAAGTTCTCACCATACTGCAGTGCCTCCTGGGCGGTATCCAAGCGTTTCTGTAAGGACTCTTTAGTTTCTGTGCCTCTTCTTTCTAATCTTTTCCTCTAAAAAGATAATTACATTTATACTGTATGCAGGGAAATTTTCACCCAAATTTATTTTCACTTTCGTCACAAGTGGGCTAATTTTAAATGGGGCAAATTCAAAGAAGACAGAGTTACATGTATCTCTTTAACACAACTGTACTGTATAGTATTCAAATGTACTCTGGTTACCAATGGGAACTTTGGTAAAGTTTTCCTAAACAAAATTCACCTATAAGGGAAAAAAGTGGTACCACATTATTTGCCATTAAAGATGCTACATTTATCAGAAAAAGGCTTTTTTTTTAATTGGGGGGGGGGGGGGGGGGTGTGGGGGGGGGGGGGGGGTTGAATGTAGCATTGATGCAAATTTAGTCAGGTTAGATCTTATGTAGGCACATTAAAATGGATCTATATATGCCATTTTTTAAACTTGTATCTCATTCAAAACATATAAATATAACAAATAATTCATATACATGCATCACTCACAAGAACCATTTAAAGCAAGTCTGATAGAACGTATCATTAGATTAGGTTCCGGTAGTAGCCATGCACAGACCCACTGTAACTTAAATCTGTATCAAAAACAGGACTGGTAATAGATGCACTTTATTTTGCACCTTTCATGCTAGTCTGATGCAAGAGAAATTATAAATATAACTTTGAGAAAAACCTTAATCCAAAACTATTCACATTCAGTTAAAAAATGCATAACATGAAGCATAAAACAGTAATGAAACACATATAGTATATCAATCTAGGTATGAGAAGGCCTACAATTATGTTAATATTACAGACAGATAACAAAGTAAAAATGAACATTAGTTTTAATAAATTGGTTGGTTTCAGCCAAAGACTGTGATTATCAGAACTTTTTAAAAAATGCCAAATTCTGAACTACTGGTATGCAAAAGTACAGAATGTGGTATATTTTATGCTGAAATACAGAATGTGGTATTTTATGCTGAAGAACAGAATATGATATGTAATGCTGAAGTACTGAATGTGACATTTTATGCTAAATTAAAGAATATGGTATTTTATGCTGAAGTACAGAATGAGGTATCTAATGCTGATGTACAGAATGTGGTATCTAATGCTGAAATACAGAATCTGGTATTTTATGCTGAAGTACAGAATGTGGTATCTATTGCTGATGTACAGAATGTGGTATCTAATGCTGATGTACAGAATGTGGTATCTAATGCTGAAGTACAGAATGTGGTATCTAATGCTGATGTACAGAATCTGGTATCTAATACTGAAGTAAAGAATATGGTATTTTATGCTGAAGTACAGAATGTGGTATCTAATGCTGGTGTACAGAATGTGATATCTAATGCTGAAGTACAGAATGTGGTATTTTAATATGCTGAAGTACAGAATGTTTATCTTATACTGGTGTACAGAATGTAGCCTATGTGGAATTTTATGCTAAGTGAAGTACAGAATGTTGTATTTTATGTTGTTTTTTACAGCTGTTTGAACTTAAAATGAATACATGTACTATAAAATAAATACAGTAACAGTACACTGAAATAATTAATCAGCTGATGAAGCACAAACTTTTCCCAACTTTGTGTACAGTTAATAAAAAATGTTAGTTCTAGATTGTGATGCTACTTTTTCATGAACAGTTTGATAAAAAATATTCATTTTAAGTCTGGATAGGAAATATTTTACCAAATCCTCCAATGAAGGTGGCTTGACAAAAATATACTGAGCATTTAGGTCTGTTTGTTTAATGTTTTTCACTCCATTAATTTCTACATCTAGTACACAAAGTCTGCCAGATTTCTGGATCATGTCCACAGCCATCTTACTGAAAGCAAAACAGAGAATTGTTTGGTAAAATTTACTCAAAATAGATCTATTTGCATCAGTATTTATTAGAAAATCTTGTTTAGTATTCATATTACGCTACACTTTATAGTTACACATCTATGATGTTTGATACTTCTTGGAATTCAATTTTCTTACATGGAAGGAAAAAAAAATAAAATGCATAAAACTCTTAACTGATCCCCCTCAGGATTACTGGGTAGTTTATGGTACATGTAATACATTCATATAATTATAGGATTTCACATCAAACAACAATACAGATATTCTGTAGACTGTCTGAGTTTCTCCTACCTTGTTCCGTATCTATTGCCAGAAAACTGTGCATGTTCCAAAAATGAACCCTCATCTATCATTTTTTCAAACTCTTCCATTGGTACAAAGAAGTAGTCTGCAATGATAAAAAAAATTTTAACTGTAAAGAAATGGAATATTTATGAATGAAGAATTTTTTTTAATGAAACAAAGATTACCTTTCTACAATGTTTTCACACCAGTAAATTTTATTTAAAAAGTTAAAAAATCAGCAGTAATAAATATATTCCAAAGTTCCAATATTTTCCCTGAAAGTCAGCTGGACATTGACTAGTAACATTATGAAATCTGACTTTTTGAAGCCCTGTACTTGTATATAAAACTGTGAAAGTTTATAGTAACCTGGAGCTACCTACATAGCTATAAAACTGCATAAACAATGAATACATCCCTACTTGTAGTATCTTCTCACCTTTTCCATGTTGTTCTCCTGATCTGGGCTTTCTAGTTGTATCTAAAATGATAGAAATGCCTTGCATAATATCAATGCAAAGTGAAAAAAACACTACTGTAGTAAACAATACAAAATATATCACTGAAAAAAATGTGAACCCCCCCCCCCCCCCCAATAAATCATCTTTCTCTATATCAAATGAAAGCAAATTAACTTACGTGAAACACTGAAGGCAAAGCAATTAGGAAATTCTCCAAATAGTTTGGTAAGAAGGGTACTCTTTCCACTCCCAGAAGGTCCACTTATTACAATGGGTTTTGGCATTATTGAAATGAACTTTCTGGAAATCTCTTTGAACAAAAAAAAAAATGATTACAATCATCCCATTATAGTCTTTGGCAAAAAAAAAAATCTATAAAAAGTGCATGAATATTTGTAAATTGTGAGTGTGTGGGGGGACATACATGTGAAACACAATAAAACATTATTAAATGTGTGGTACATTTTTTAAAAAAATTATATGAATAAATTATGTCATTTTTGCTTTTGTTACATGTATTTTTAGCATGTCAGACACATACTTGTTCCAGTAAACAATTGCATTGGACAAGAGGCCCATGGGTCATAAGGCTCACTGGAGTCATCATTCATTTATGCAGGATCTAATTTGAATTAGCAATCCAAATTACCCTTGTCAAAGATAATCAAGAGCCCAATATAATGTCCTAGCTAATATTATACTTTTCCCTGGAGAAGGTAATAAATAACACAAGAGAGAGAGAGAGAATGAGAGAGAGAATGATCTTTTCAGAAATGCTCACTTAGGCCTCTGATTAAGGTGAGCTAGAAATTACATACTTCATTCTTTTAAGTATGGCAACATAAGAGTTACACCAATGCTTTGCCCATAACTGTTACAACATACATGAATATCATAGATCTGGCATCTTGTGTGCCAAAGATTATTAACTTTTCCAGAACCTCCCAGGTAGATAGCAGTATTTAATAAATGTTGCTACAACTATTATTCAAATGATAATTTTTCAAGTAAAAGAAAGTCCATTCCATTTTTTCAAAATTTATGACAGAACACGACTTTTTTATTTATTGATGCCGAAATTGCAGTCAGAATGAGTGGTGGGAGTGCAAACTAACAACATTTAAAAGACATAACGCGGAATTTCCCAATGTTGTTATCCCCTCTAAAAGGAGCTTCAAAATAACGTCTTTCACTTGTTTACTTCAGTGATCTGCCATATGCACATGCACCATAGCCCAAGGCGAAACAATTTGAGATAGATCTATTAATCTTAAAGTTAAAAAGTTTTTTTATTTCGTCAAAAAAATGTCGTTTACATCAAAAACATATCCCACTAACAAAAAATGACCTACCTTTATGTAGATGGTAACTAAATTTACTAAAAGACCTGGTAAATGCTTGTGTTATCATGAATCATCAACAACAACCGTCACTCACAACGCGGATTGTGTGTTTCAATCTATGTAAATTTGTTCCCCTTAAGTTCATGCATATATACCGTAGGATAAAACGCTTAATTGATTGTGAAGAGTGAAAAGTAAAAAATAAAACCCAATACATACCGTGATATTCCGTATTTCAATCAAGACTTCGTTATCTTTTCATATATGTAACTGAACTTTATGTACAGTGCACGGCATCATTTCATCATATTAGTTTCCATAGAAACCAATAAAGAGTCAGGTAATCCTAGCGAGATCTGTGATAAAATCAATGAAAATAATATGACAGGATCGCGAGAACGTCACAGAATCGATCTATCTTTCTCAAGCAATTCTTAGGCAGGGAAACCTTTATAAATTAGTTAAATAAGATTAGTTAGCTTTCATCGACCGTGTGTTTGTTTACCACCACCATATATATTTTTTTCCCTAGACGCTAATGATTTACAGTTAAAATGCACACAATATCAGCTGGTAGAATTTGACAGAAAATCGCTCAATAACTTGACAATTTATAAATGAATAAATGTAAAAGTCCTTCACCAGAGGGACAATGAACTTTAATAGGATAAAAATAATATACTGGTATATACTTCGGGGAGTTACAGAGATGCTTTTGGCCTAACGGCTGACTTGAAGAAGGATGATTGGAATTTTAAAAATTAAAAAAATCCATACAGGCACGTAGTATCAGTAGCCCCCCTTTTTCCCCCAACATAACCTTTTGCTATTGAAAATGTTTGTTAAAGACGGGTTAATTGCCCCCCACCCCGGCCACTTTTTGTTGTAGCATAATTTAAATTATAGTAATTTGGTAATGTATTGATATAATTTGGTCGTGAACGAAAGTTAGAACATGAAATCTTAAATTACTAATTTTGGGGTTATTACTGCAGGTTAAACTTTAGTATTATTTTCTGTATTTTCCAATCTAATTAAAATTAGGCTTGTATTTTCGCTCTTCTACTATACGCTTGTATTGAAGCGTATAGTAGAGGAGCGAAAATACAAGTCTAATTCTAATTAGGTTGTGTATTTTCTTACTTAAAATGTACAACTTTGAGAAAGCTGTATTGATAAAAAAAAAAAAGAAAAAAAAAAAAAAAACGGGGAAGGGATAGATCGGGTTACTTATACAGTTAATTTAGTCCCCCCACCCACGCACCCTAAATCAGACATCGGTCTAGTGATCTCGCCCCTAGGTAAACGATGGCAGATTCAGGGGAACAATATAGGTGATAATTCCTGTAAGTCTTCGTTGATGCAGTAAAAAACTACAGGAGATAATTGCACGAATACAATGTACATTGTACACATTCGTTTGAAATTTTTCGAGGATAATTTTAAAGTATCAAACAATCCTTTCTGCCTTTGCTATAAAACACTTTTAAGTATATTTAGATAAAAATTTATTTTGCAATGTCCACTTGATTTATATTATTGAATGAGTTTTTGCACTCGTTGAAAATATATTTAAGGAGGTTGGATCCTGCCATCAAAAGTAATGAGAATTTTTTATCAAGTATATTTTTAGAATTTACACATACAACTTTATTAAAAATCAAAACAAAAATGGGGGTCAATGCGCTTCTTTTGGCGCTACAGAGCATTTAGTTTGACCTTTTTGCACTGTAAATACGTCTTACACATAAATCAATTTTTAAAGTTTTTCCTTCAATATTTTTTTTTCAAATAAATTATGGTGAACAAACACAGTCTTATTTCATCTTAAATAGACACATTAAAATTTGTAACAACGAAGAAATTTTCGAATTACTCCGCATGTTCAATTATTTGACCTTTTTGCACTCAAACATTCACATTTTTCTGGCATTAAAATTTAACAAGCAAAAAAATCATTTGACAGTAATGACATTTTACTGAATTTAAGAAGAATGGTTAAAAGTATCGTATATATTCAGAAAAGAAAATTAAAAGTGGGGGTCTGTGATGTTAATTTTTAGATATTACTAAAATAGTGCTAATTTTAAGCTTAAATTAGGGCTATTTTTTTCCTTCATTTCCACAATATATTTGCTATATTTATCAAATATGATGATAAAATTCATGACAGTTTATTTAATAGATAATTTAGTACCAGTACAAAACAGTCCACTGCACAAAATAACTATGTGTGCAGCCTGCATTTAAAAATAAGAATCCAAACTTAACATACTTTAAATACTTCGAAAGAGAAAAAATGATCATTTTCTTCTAAAAAACCTTCCGCCACAAAATATAGTTCCTCACTTAATTCTTTTGGTATGGAATTTAATCATGGAGTTTTAACTGAATATAGTTAAATTGGCATTGTAGAATCCAAAGTTATTGTAAGAATTAAAACATTATGCAGAATTTTTGAAATATAGGTTAAGATAAGAATCTGCTCAAAAGCTCAGGAGCGAACCTCGTTAAAAAATCATATCCCACTTTCCGTATCAAACCTTGACAGGGGCTTGGTTTCAGGATCGTTGTACTGCGTGTTCTTTTATGTATGTTTGAACATGATGATTAATTAAAGTTAAACTGCTGTTACAATATCGTATTTCTATGTACTTAAAAAAATATTTTTTAATGTAGGCTACAACGAAATACAATGTTTAAAATATTTTTAAAAACTGCCAACGGATTTTGCCGGTGATAATTTTAATCACACATTCAGACGGACATAGAAGAACACACAAGACATTAATACAAATACAAATATTTATTGTTTTCTAAGGATCATCTAGTGGGCACACTGGTTATATGACAACAATGAGTACTTCAAATATAAAATTTGTGTCCTCTGGTGTGTCTAACCTTGACATAACAAATACAATTTACAATAAATTACAATCATTACAATAATTGGCAAATGCCCAACTTCGGGCCAACTCAGGGAACCCCAACCTGGCGTGTAACCAGAATTTTATTGAAGTGTGTTGAAGGGGGCCTTGGGGTCTCCGTGAGGCCACCAGAAGGCGAAGCCCCCCCCCCTCCCCCGCCCCAGAAGCTCCTGGTTTAACTTTTACCAAACATTTCATTCATTGGCAACCTTCCTCTGGATCTGCCAATGATCGAGGAATATTCTATATCAGTATATGTACTCGATATATTCAGATAAACTTATTTCCCCAGTTACTCTCATTTACAATTGATATGTTTTAGTAATCTGAAAACACACCGTATTTTTCATTTTGTTTGTAACATGGTTGTATGCCAACATGTTTGGTGAATCAATGAATTGAATTGAATTGATATCACAGGTGCTTGGGGACAGCCCCCCCCCCCCAACATATATTTATGGCTTCCCGAGTTTTTTTTTCATGATTTATTTTTTTAAGCATATGTTGATGTATATTGCTCTATAAAAATTCACAATTAACGCGAAATAACTATGTATCAAAAATATATACCACTGGTATTTAACTTTTGCTTATTTAAAATTAACTCCCCTTTCTTAGTACCAGTGTTTTGTTCAGAGTGACCCCCCTTTCTAATTTTCAAATAATATTGCCTTGCATGGTCGTGAAGAAACAAAAGGGGGAAAATCTGATATGTTATCCGTGAAAAAAAGATGCTCATAAGGTTTGTACACTTTAAAGGAGATGTGCCGGCTAATTTCATTGGCTCTTTCACAGATGATGACGTTGTGGTTGCTTGGTCTCATGTTGTGTTGTTGGTTACTGCTCATTTCTGAAGCATAGCTTGAAGAGACAAGGCGTGTTTTCAGTCAAGAGAATAATTTTCGAAATTTATACGAACTGAGGTGCACTTTAGTCATGGAGATGAATAAAAGCACTTATAAGAGGGTAATGCTTCATTTTGTCATGTCACTTCTTTGCAAGAATAGGCCCCTCGAGTGGTTATTTAGGCCTATAGGACTTTGCTCGAGGGCTAAGCCTAAACCTATGTGCTAAGTACGATTGGAACTATTAGCCATACTCCTATGTGCGGATATTTTATTCCTCCACTTATATGTTAATTCACTATGATTTTTGATCCCAGTTTGAAAAACATTGAAATAAACCTGCCACTTCATTACTTTAAAAAAAGATGTTATAGGCCTACTTCCTATGTGATGAACGTGGTGTCTGTTCCTTCATTGATCATCAGATTTTCCGTCTGTAACAAACTATTTCCAAAGTCACTTTTTTAATTTCACACAGATTTTGAGGACAGGGATACTTAGAAAATAGAAATATTGTAGTTTTTTTGTGAATGAAATTTTATTGTGATCTATAATAGGCAAAGAAATCATAAACGCCTATGAGGAAATGCATGTGTAGGCCCTAAACCCTACTGCCCTATTTCACTCCATTTTGATTAATACGATACCACATTATCGTCATATTATTAAGCATTACTATTTGGTACATACAGACAATCGTACTTATGTAACTGTTTTTCTGTATTAGCCACTAGGCCTAATGGGGTTTTTCTATTTTTTTTGCCGTTGTCAATGGCGACGTTACGGTAACCATTGCTTTTTAAAACCATTTCTGTGTCACAGGGCCGATTTTGGGCCAATCACACAGTTGCGTAGAGTGCCACAGGGCCAATTTTGGGCCCATTTTCATTAAACTGAATTGTGGCCATGTATTTATTTTACTTTTTATTCAACATGAATAATTGTTTAACATAGAGCATCAGTAGATGAAATAAGTCGTGTCTTAGACTGAACTAAGAATTTCATAAAATGATCGATAAATACCGGTATGATAGGAAGCAATTTCTGTTTGAGGGGGGTGGAGGAGGAGGGGACAACATCCTCCCCCACACCCAACACATATTCCTTAATTAACGACATTTTTTAGCATAAGTTACTATGTAAAATAAATAACAGTGTGACTCTTAGGGGGAGGAGGTTCCGACCTCCCTGACCCACCCACACCCCCCTTTCCGGATCAGCCTTTGACAATAATTAGAATGTTCCGTCGAATTGATTATTTTTTAAATTACCGGTATTCATTTGGAATGAAAGAAAAAGTTTACATGAGGAGGGAGGGATTTTATCTTATAAAAAGTACCTGTACTTATGCATTTCATGTACGTTTTTCTTTCCAAGGTCGTAGTAGGAATCAACTTTTCAAAAATGATTTTTTAGCGCAGTTACCTATTTATAATCAATACAGTGTAACATTTTGAATCTTAGGGAAGAGAGGGGATCTGGGAGGTATTAAATATGGATGTTAATAACACTGACAATCGAAAAAGGGTTAAGAACTCTGTGTTAAGTTCTAAGACTAGTTACTTTCAAAGTACTAATATAACTTCAAAGCACTTACTAATTCTCTGTAATAGTTGGAAAAAAATAATGAATAATATCCAGCTTTAAGTGAACTAAATTTTTAAAAAGAGCATAAAAAGCTTGATAAACAATATTTAAAATTTTATTCATATCTAACTGTTGATCTATTCAATCTTAATGCAACATTTGCAACAAGCTCGTCCACTTGAGCATCAATTCATGCCAGGACCGTTTATTTAATCTGAATTTAAACACAAGGTAAGCATACATGTATATTTTTGAATGTAAGTATAAGTTTATATCTGTTTCAGAAGCGAATCGATGTTCCCAGTGCCGCCCCGGAAGATGCCTCGAGTTTTTACAAGAGGCTGGGACTGGACATTTTGGCCCCGTCCTCTACTTCCGGGCAGCCTGAGGAGGTCTCAGTTTTGTTTTTCTTTTCACTGTATATAAAACGGAGGAGTAAGTGTGACCAAAAATAAGAATGTTAGCTTTAATATCTTTGTGTTTCAAATCCAAATTCAATCAGCAGAGAACTTTTTGGAATTAAACTTTAAATGCATATACGTTTTTTTTTCTTCTGTGATATCGATCATTCATGGTATTATCCTTTTGATTTTCAGACTGAGCCACCCAGGAAGCGTTCTGTTCAGCAAGCGAGCCATATAGCTCTACAGAACACTAAACCTACTCACAGACCCGATAGAGTGGGACAACAGTGGGTCAGTAGTACCACAGAATTATCCCAGTGAATCTATAATTACTATGTTGTATGATTTATCCATGGTCTTACATATTTTATTAATTAAATCGTAATTACAGACTCAGTTTCAACAGAGAGATAGACATTCACATGCAATCAGACAAAATTATCCTCATGGAAACGGAAACAGTGGAAGAACAGAGTCTGTGAGCACTGCTGCCTCTTACCGACCGCAACATTCGCAACAAACTCGTCCACATGAGCATCAAATACATGCTAGGACAAGCTTGGTAAATGGAGGTGCAAACCAATACCAGCAACATAGGCAACCAGCTCGCCATGAATATCAGACTCATCAGAAGGCTGATTTGGTGAACGGTGGTGATTTCCGCCGACATCAAGATGTGCATCCTAATTTTTCACATCCAAGGACTGCGTCAAGGAACGCAGCTGCCCTCCACAGACGTCAGCATTTGCAACCGGCTCGTCATCAACAGAGAGCGGTTCGCAAAGAGGTAAAATAATGCTGCCATAAACGTGCTAAAGTAGAATAAGATACTCAAAAAAGACTATTTAAAATAGTAGGTTATCATTAATAAATAATTAAAAAATATGTATGCGGTGTATGAAATGCTATATATTAAAAGATAGTTTTCTGAACTTTAAAAAAATGTTATGACTTAATTAGCTGCAGATTTGTAGCTCACTGGTCTTTATACATGTACATATCCATTTTTTCCATCATCAGTGAGCTACAGATCTTTAGCCACTTGAGAATACTTTCATAATGATTGTATATTTCCAGCCTCGGGTCATACCAATCAACAGATACGCTCCTCCAGACTACATGAAAATAATGTATCACCCGACTCCGACACTGGAGGATCTGGGGTTAACCAGTTATCTGGATAGTCCTCCCTCATCACCGAGAGCTACGTCACCAGTTCGGGAGTCCACTGCCACTTCAGATCAGGAGACAACACAGGCTCTCTCAGGGAATGGATTGTCCATGCCAACTTTGATAATGCCAAAACAGATGACTGAGAGACCCCAGACTGTCTCAGGCAACAACTTGGTAAGTATACTCAAGTCAGTCGGCAGTTGGCTAATTTAAATCATTTCTAAATATCATATTGATATACTGAATATCACCATAGTGAAGTCAAATCTGTATGTCTAAAACAGTTGATAAGGTAAATTTATGAAAATATGAAATATAAAATATCTGTCATAAATTTATGAAAGACCACACAATGACAACAAATTTGATTTCAGTTTTCCCCCCTATTTTAGATTAATAACTCGACAACGAGTGTCAGACCTCCAGTGTACGTCCCAAGTTTTGCTCCCAAAGGCTGGGTTAAGCCTGCTGAGGCACGCAATCCCTCACAGGGACATGGGCATACAGACAGAATGGAAGGAAGTCACGTTACACAAACAATGCCTAGTTCTTATGTGGATGAACAAACTGTGTCAAAATCTGCAAAACCTGCTGTACAAACGATCAGCACTGCTCTGGTTAATAGACCCAAGAAAGTGGCATGTGACTGGGTAGGTAAAATTTGGATATAAAATTACTTTTATCATTGACTGAAGTATCATATTTCTGAAAAAGTAATTGGAAACGTAAATTAATCTAATTTTCCGTCTCTTTTTTGCAGTCAACAATTGCTGAGCAGTATTCCACAGAGAGTCGTCAGTCTGACAACCAAGAGGCGAGACGTGACGCAGTGTATGGACGCTATAACGGTGATGTGCGTCTCTCAAGTAATAAAGAGACTCACGACGCAGAGCGTTGCAAGAATCAAGAGACATGGCGTCGGACAAATAATACTGCACAGATTCATCCCTCTAACCAGCAGACATTTGACCAGGTACAGTTGTAAAACACATTTATATTCTTTTATCAGGATGTGTCATGAATGCAATTTAATATAGAAATATACTGAAACCAAGGCTTAGCAAAAAGAAATGTTTTCATTTCTTCTACAGATAATGGCACAGCAGAAAGCTAGACAAAATGTTCGTCAGCAACAACTTGAGACTAACATCAAGTATGCACAAATTGCAGGAGTCAAAGTTAATGAGTTGACTAGCTCAGAGACGAAGGTGAGTTTTTTTTTTCATCTGTCAAAATTTCAAAATGCTACTCTTCATACAGTTTTGGTCTGATTTCCATAAAACTTACGACACTAAGGATAGTTTTTTTATATTTCTATTTTTTTTTATCGATTATGCCATGGAAACTAATAAGAGGAATAATGTGTGAATTTTTTCTTCAAAATTCTACTCTTTCATATTTGGCTCGATTTCAGTAAAACTTGAAAAGAGTTTACAAAAACCATCATAATACATAATTGTACATAATTTTCTCGATAAAAAATAAAATAGTGTTACAAGTCCAGGTGCAGTTTCTCTCTACCAAAACTAACTATGAAAATTAATATCTAAAGTCTTGTCGGAGACTTCTGTGAAATATGTGAGCATTAAGAGCGGGGGATGGGTGGGTGCTAGAGTATACCAAACGTGTGTTAAATTTTGATGGTAAATTGAGAACATTTTGAACATTTAAATTTCATCTGTATTATGGTTTGGTATAAAACATAATGCTCACCAGATTTTTCACTGGATTATGTTCAAGAATCAAATGATGTGTGATATTGACTGTATTTGCAAAAAGTGGGTTCTTTTCTCTTCAAACCTTAAAATTGGGCGTAAGTCTTGCGTAATTATCTGATCATGGTGTAATAGAATTGAGCTTGATTACATTATGGATCAGTTGTAAGCTCTCTGAATATCCTCTTCGACTTGTTGCTCTTCTTGTCTAAAATTACTGCATTTTATCGTGTTTTTTCGTCTTTTGCAGGGAAAGGCGCTTGGAAACATGTACGATCTATTTGGTGGCATGTCTCCATTTAGCTGCTGGATTCAGTCGCCTACAAGAGATCCGAGATTTTCATAGCGTCTGAGCTTTGTGGCCATTTCGACAACATGAAGTTATCACTGGCAATTTCCCCCTTGACTTGATGGGAAATCTTCGCATTCTGAGAGACTTTTACTACCATGTCTTTTAAAGAGCTGTCTGTGGCAGCCAGATTATTTGTTGTTTTATTATTATAATTTTTACTATAGAATAATTTCATTTTCATATTTGACAATTTTCTCATCGTTGTCTGTGACAACCTTTGTTTTTATATTTTCTGTGACAATGATCTCTGTGTAAGCACTGTGTGCTAAGTGAATAATAAATATTTTTAGAAAGTAAATGGTTCAAGAAACTCTTACTTTTCTTTTGAAGCTGTTGCTAAGATGACATTGGGTAATTTAAGTGACTGATAAATCTTGTCAAGAAGATTAATTTATCAAAATATTATTTATATCGGTACTTCTGTTTCATGATATTTAACGGGGAAAAAATACTTAAGACCCCCCTTTTCTATATATCCCTTTTTTTAAAGCCTGTCATTTGAAGTATTGTACATAGGTACATGTTATCTTAATTTTTTAAAAAAGAAGTTTTGTAATAAAATTGCATGAAAAAATGAATTGTGTGTTTTGTTTGAGCCACGATCCGATCATTTTTTTCTCTTAGCATTTATATTAGAATGATAACTTCTGACATCCTCCAAAACGTGGACTGAAAGTACGCAGCACTTAAAGTGATAGGTCTATCACATTTGATTATAAGCTCTACTGGTTGTAGACCATTTGATGTTCAAATTTTTGAATTTACTTCGATAGGTGTAAATCGATTATCTACACTAAAGTCTGACATATGTAACTTAATAATATGTCTATTAAGTTAACACCAATCCAAGTAAATTAAAAAATTAGGATATGGCAGGTGTTTTACATATACAGGTTCATTCCAATAATCTTAAACAATATTAAATGTAAAGCTTTATGGAAACCATATATTACTACACAATCGTTAGGATCTAGAAGCAGTTGTACGTATCATGACGGTATACAGAAGAATTATACAGGAAGAGTTTGTGCTATGAAATTAATGCACGCCTGAAACCTATCTCGGTTGAGATTGAGATCGGTTGTATCATATCTAGCTGAGCCCAATTAATCTCAGCCAAGATTACCAACACTGAACAATTTCCACACAATCACATTTATTACGTCTTGGTTACAAAGAGTCACAAAGACAATGAAACCACGATGCAATCTCTGGCATGCATCATATTCGCCAATCGTTAAACTTTTCATGGCTTCTCTGAGAGGGTCTATGAAGGTTTCAGAGTACGTATTTGCAAATCCCATTTGGTCACTACAAGTCCCTTGAGTGTGGGGAAAAGACTGACCAAGTTTGGTAACTTCGTAGTCTATTCTAAAAGTCTTCAAATTCTCATACATTATAATTCGTTGGTATCAATTCAGTGAATGAGTACGAAAGGAAAAACCCTGTGGATATCAAGGGCTAATGCAACGGTGTAGCAATATGTCAACATACGGAACAGCATTACACAAGTAAGTCAACAGAACAGAAAAATTTCCAGAGGTGTTGGAAAAAGCTCAGTGAGTAGCAATGAAACACATTGAGTTGTTCTCAACATCGAGGGAAAGATGTTCTGGTCTAGTTAACTGTCAAACATTGATGTTTTATATTAAACTTTATTTTAGATGCTGTCAGTCCAATAGATCACCGGTCTGATATTCGCCATGCAACTACTGACCGGCGGGCGATCCAACAGACCGCTGGTTCTAAGTTCACCAACTACATGACCTGCGGTCCAATAAATCGCTTTCGATTAACTGGACTTGCAATTGCTTAAGAATGGACCTGCTCCAGAAAAATTAATCTGGAATGTCAGATCCAGTATCTAAATCAAACTAATTGTGTGCATCCCCTAGATACTTCATCTATGTAATTTTGTTCACCATAGGGCTCAGAGCTATACCTGAAAAAGATTTTTCTCCTTAAAGATTGGGATGCCTATTCCATGCATATGGGGTATAGCAAAAGTTCATCTTCACTTTGAGGAGTTAAAAGAAAAAGATAAAACCTTGATAGTTCTTCAGAAATTTTTATTTAACATTAAATAGATATAACAATTTAACGGCATTGACTTAAATTTGACACACGTGGACTTGGACATTAGCACCAAATTGTCAAACCAAGAAAATGACTGTTCAACAGAAAATTACTAAACTCTGAATCAACAAATGTCATGGATTTACAAAACAGCTTTTTTTTACTACTGCAAGCTATAATCATAACACAACCAAGTAATTTTTTTCTCAGCATAAACGACCAAAAGTTACATCCTGTCTTTCATCACAGAGAAAGGAGATTCTTTTGGATTAATCTCAGGGTAATGGTGTTTGCATTTTTTTTCAAAGTTATGCTAAAAATAGAGAAAATATACAGCTTTTCTATACATCGGACAGGTACATACATGTACTGTACATTGTAAATATACAATGTAATTATTACATGCACTACATTCATGGAATGTTAATACAAAAATGCAACATTAGAAGGGATCACAATAATATCAAGATTTAACAATGACACTGTAATTTATTTTCAAAACTTTGGCCATTTACTTTAACTAATATGTAGAAAAATGTGCAATTGACATATAAGGATAAGTTCTTGTTGATATACAATTTTTTAAAGCATTTCTATTAAATCATACAATACTGAAAATAATTCATTAAACTATCAACAGCTTTCCTTAGTTTGTTACCTATCTTTAGGAGTGCAGGAGCACTTACGTGTGAAACTTTAGCACTATATTGTAAAACACAAAAAATGTTCAACCTGACAAATAAAAGCAGCACTGCATGTGCCAAATAACAGCACAATTAATGATTAGGGACTAGAATATTTAAGGAAATATTTTAAATGAAGGCAGTGAATTAACTTGAATCTGAAAATTATGTTTACATAATAGAAGGAAACTTGCAATTAAAAAAAAAATTGTGCAAAGGAAAAGTGGACATATGTGCAAAGGAGATTTGAATTAATTATGCTGGGCTTAATGCACGATGAAGACACAACATAGCTTTAAACTTTAGTTAATATCCTTACTTGTGCCCCCTCCCACAAAGATTCATGTTTAACATAAATCTTAAGGGGAGGGGAGATTTACAAGAAAGGGTATCAAGTATGATGTATGCTTTTATGATAAGCTTTAGATGACAAAAATTTCAAGCAATAATTAAAAGAAAAATTAAAATCTATAAAATATTTCAGTACATATATGAACCTGTACATCAAATGAGTGCAACAACTTGCATCTCATTTCTCTGTTGGATTATCATGAATATGTTCAGGTCATGATAACTATACTCTTAGAAAAATGCTCTAATTAAATAAATTATGTCCACTTTCCATTTGCCAAATGCCCTTTATGTAGGCAAGATACAAAGAAATTATGCAAACATCTGATACAACCTGCATAAACAGCTCAATTGAAGCACCCTCAGGCTGTTAATTACGACACTGCTGATCAACTGGCATTACACAGACAATATACTAGTGGTGAAGCAAACATCATACCAATAATTTGTATAATAAAGCTGTTACTGTGACTCAAGAAAAAACACTTTCATAAAAGCAAAATTGAAAAATTGCTATTCATAAATTAAATTTAAATTCATAAAAGATAATTAAATTTATCAATCATGTGTGAGTGAACAGCGATGAATCAATATCCAAAACTGCAAATAAAATTTATAACCCTCACCGGTATTGGACAAAGTTCATTTAGTAATTAATATTTAATTAATAACTTAACATATAGACAACACTGTATTAATTCTGATTTTCAAGAAGTAATCCTTTATATGTATTGCAACAGCAATTAAAACAATGAAAATTAACTCATGCCTGACTTTTTACAGACATAAAAAGATCATTGCCACGATAATCATATACAAATTAAAGCTAATGTCTGCAAAATCAGCACCATTATTTGATCAATGAAGAAAAACAAAAATACAGGTGTTATAACTACACCTGGAAAAATCATAATTTTCATTATGTTTTTCATTTTTCAATACTATATACATGTATGTACCAAATTGAAGGTAGACCCTACCTTGAGAAGTATGTTTTACATACATGTACATGTACATAGTGAAACATGCTTAGAGCAAAGTGCCAGGAAACAATTTTGAATCATTATTGATGTAATTCATTCTGTTAAATTTATGTTTTGAGATGACAGGAAAAAAAATCTTTTGGCTTTATGCATGAAATCATCATATGTGTTTTTGCTGTAACTGAGTTTTACTGTACATGGTAAAAAAAATTGATTTGTTGAACCAGATGGAGAAAATAAATTAAACTAAGTTAATGCCCACAACTTGTAAAAATAAAGCCATCACCAAACTGAGAAAATTTATCTCCTCTGCACAGTCGAAAGGTCGATACTGGACGCCCGTTTATGTGATTTCTTTTTGGGATGTCCAGCATTGTTCTTGTCTGGAGGTCGGCCGCTAAACTGACCACTGACAGGTTTTGAACAAGACATTGAAGGCAATAAAGTTTCAATAACAGGATAAACGTACACATGTCCATTCTGACTTGCTTTGTTGGAGGAAGTGCACTCAGTAGATGAGGATTTCTTGATCAATTTTTGACCATTTAAAGGAACTGTCTTACTGGACTGTTGACCTTTGTTCGACTCTGGGAAAGAATTTGGGCAACTAGTCTTTTTCTGTGCCAAATTGTTCACTGACTCTTTATCTTTCCAAAAATATGACAAAAGTCCCCCAGAATTCCGCTCTGGCTTGGAACTTGATGTCAATTCTTTGGGTATATCACTGGTAAATAACAACCCAGCCTCACTATGGCTGTCTGCACTAATGTTTTTCAAATCTTCTGGGAGGTTGTGGATTTCTGTTGATTTCGAAACTTGTACTCTGTTTCTTTTCTTCTTTTTTCTTCTCTGAAAATCTCTTTGCTGTAAACAAAAGAAATACTCAAAAATTAATATTTTTAAACATAATGGTATTTTAAGCTAAATATGACAAGCAAAATTCAATTCCTTCAAACATGTACAGGTAATCTGACCTGATCTACAGATCCATGGCTTGTTGAACTTGTAGACCTGGAAACCGAGACTGGTTGAGCTGTCCAAACAAAGACAGATTTTTTAAAAAATAAGAACACTGCACTTCCTCCTTTAAATAAAACTTCTGAGAGAGAGAGAATCATTACAAATGAAGATGCATATACAGTGCTCCCCCGTTTTACCGCCAACATTTGTACCTCGGCAGTTATTGGGGTGATAATAATGGTCATGGACAGAATTGTACCTGAAATATGTTTGCAGATGGCAATAGGCGAGGGCTGGCAGTAAAATGGGGTTTTATAGTGTAAGGAAATTGGGACTTCAAATTTTTTTTGCAGTAGGCAAGGGTGGCATTATAACGGGGGAGCACTGTATGTTTTCTTACAACAGTTAAATTTTTCGCATCATTTAACAATAAATACTATACCCAGCGAGGGGTCACTGTTGTGCTTCTGCAGCTGTCCATCAGACATCAGTAATTTGTTTTGTTTCCTGGCTCCCTCAGAGTAGGAATTTCGCCTTGGAACCTTGGAGACATCCATACTTAAAGGCATTCCTTCAATCAGCTTCCTGACTTCTGGGGGCAGGTTTGCCACAGAAGACTTACCTCGCCTCAGGCAAACAAGGAGAATACAGAACAGGACAAAAACCTCAATAGTTGTAAAGAAAACCTGTCTGTCCATCACCTGCAAAGGATATTAGATTAACAATACCTGTATAAACATTAATTACATATTTCTTCACATTTCAAAAAGTTGACTGCATGAGATAAGTTGAGGTAGGACAGTTTTCTCTGTAAAGATTCTCTCTGTGTGAAAAAAATACTTTGGGTACCAAGGACTTTTGCAATGTACAAAATCTACTTTGTACCAAGTTACGCTCAAGATGTAATATTCTTATAGAAGCTGCAAGTGTACCTGTTTGTTGAGATGAGACATCTCATCTTGGAGTTTATACACCATGTCTGTCAGATTATCTAAGCGATGTTCCAGAAAATTGATCTGCTCCTGTTGCTGTCTATCCTACAAAGAATTTAGAGATATGATACATAAAAATATCATGTGCAGTACACAGGTGTAAACTGTTAATTTATCATGCATTCTCATTTTGATATTTAATATACTTGAGTGTTATATTCCAAGTAGAATTAATCATGAAAATGACACCCTATTCACCCCAACTCACCCATGCATGGTAAGGAGTCCAATATGCTTTTTTAATTTTGATAATTGTTCATTTATATTTAACTGCATGCACATATCACATACAAATTTCTAACAGTTTTAAGATGCATGATTAATGAGTGATCAATGTAGGATTTTCATCTAAAATGGAATTTTGACCGTGACCTTGAACTTAAGAAAACAGGAAGTCAAGTATCTTTCATTAAATATAGGTATTTCTATACTGGTGTTATAACTTTAAGTTTCAGAAAAAATAGAAACAAAAGAATTGGGAAAAAAGGTAATCAAAGATTTTAAAGGATTCCAACTTAAAACATTCCTGATGCAGGATCTGACTGGTATTAAATATCATATCCATTGTGTACCCAGATTCAACTCAGGAATTTCTTTCAGGTTTTTGAGATGTAGACCTTTCAGAACATTGAAAAAAGAAATGCTGTTTCCAACGATGAGATTATAACCTATACTATCCTTAACTTCTCCGCAAATTGTCTTTCTCATAAGCATAAAAATAAAGACTGTATTACATTCAGCAGACTTTTTTTGAAATGAATAAAAACTCTCTAGGATTAAAAGACATTGAAAGTCTTATTCTCTGTTGAGTAACTTAAGTGAGAAAATTTCTTCATCCTTACTCTGCGTTCTGCCTCCTTTAGGTCTTTGGTTACATTCTCAAATTTAGCAGTCAGGAGTTTCTGCATTTCCTCCGATTGCTTCTTAAACTTCTGAGTCATCTCATCCAAAAACCTGAATTTTACATATGAAAAAAAAAATCATATCATTTAGATTTCTTGAAAAAACCTTTCACAATATTTCTTAAAATCTACTTTTTTAAATTTTTATCTACATGTATCTTGGAAATTTTGATATAACATCATCATTTCCTGCTATCATTAAATATTTCTAAACTTTCTGTCAGTTTACCTGCTGCTAAGAGAAACATTGGTTTCCAAAGCTTTAATCCTATTGGTCAGTCTCATTATGGCTGTTTCCCGTTTCTGTAGAGGCAGGATGGGAACTTTGACCAATCTGAGGTTTTTCTGTGGTGTATACTCAATCTCGTCTGCCGATAGCGTATAGCTGGATTCAGAAGTTTGCTCCATTGTGTCTGGGGCAGGGGTAACTGTGGTTTGGGGATAATTGTCCTCTATCTGTCTGTCTCCCTCTTCAGAAGTCTGACCATTCACCATAGTGTCCTGAGAACTCTCTGTCTGTACAGCACTGCTGGTAGTGATGGAAGCACCATTAACTTCTGGGAGGTGCATTTTCTGCTCAGTTTTCTGAAAATTCATTACAGAACACCACTTATTCTTTTATATATATGTACATGAAAGCTCAGATACTGTGAATTAGGGAAAAATACAGAGAATAACAAGGTGTGTTTGTGAAACACTATGCCCCGATGGTAACACAATTTTGGAGTGGGACGTAGACTACAGTGCAATAGTTACGGCCAATGTTAAAGTTTTTCAAATGTAGGCCAGAAGTCACAGTTGAGGTCACATGATCAAAAATTTCTGTACCAATGGAAAGGTCTTCTCATAATGAACACTCATGTCAAATATTAAAGCCTTACCCTTGACAGTGCAATAGTCATGGGCTAGGTTAAAGTTTACAACAGACAGACAGACAGACAGGACAAAAACAATATACCCCCAGGATCTTTTGATCCAAAGGCATAAAAATAATTTTTATCTTATGCTTACACTGTCTTCTGTTGAAGATGGTGAGGTTGAATATGAAGCTGTGTCAGACACTGGCATGGTTGTTAATGATTCCGTCTTCTGTAGATGTGGCGTCTCAGAAAAAGAATCCTTGCTCACATCAATAACAACACTAGGCTCTAATACACTCTGACTGGAAATCACTTCTCCATGACTGGTAGAGGACACAGCTGGTGGTATCTCTGAAGCTACTGTGTTTTCCACAGAAACAGATGCTGTAGCTCTAACTTCCGGAATGTCAGTTTTGTCCATTGTTTTCAGAGATGTTGATAGAACTGGAGATTGGTGAAGGCCTTGCTGAGTTTTTGTTTCCTTTGGTAGAACTGTACTGTCCTGTACAGGAACTTCTGAATCAAGAGAAGGAACCTGTATCACTGTTGAAATCTGAACGTCTGAAGTAGAAGCAGGTGTGGGGATAAAACAAGGTGACTGACTCTCCAGTACTTTCTCTGTTGGAGTTTCCACCACATCAGATGTAGGGGTACTTAATACATCTGTGTGATCTACAACCTCCTGCTTTACTGTAACCACAGGTGTCACTGTTGACGATTCATGTGTCCTTGACCTTGACGGCAAGGTAAATTCCCCTGGTACTGAGATCCAATCTTTTTTCAATGCTCTGACATAGCTACATAGTGACAAAGTGGAGTTCTGTCGGTGGCGAATCTTAAATCTGTGTGGTAGAATACACGACAGAAACATCTTATACAGAGTTAAACGCTTCTTGAGATCTCCGCTTTGTATCAGTGAAACCATGGGAGGCTTCAATTGTTCACTTGGCATTTGTTCATGGTCCTCCAGCTTGGTAACTATAGAAACAGCAGGATCCAAAAGATCCGGTTTCATATCATCACTTAAAGTTCCTACAAGAATTTACATAAAACCTTTAAGAATTAATATTTTAAACATTCTTTTCCCCTCAAAATGCAAAAAAAAAGAAGATATTTCTTGTGGAGGATTTTTTGCCAATCCCCATAAATAAGGTGTAAATACATGAATTGATTTACATCTGAATGTATTCAATGATAATGTAATCTGTCATACCTGGAGTATCACATGGTTTTTCTTGTTCAGCAGGACAAGATGTGGGGCTGGGGGGTTTGGGGAGGGTCTCTCCTTTGTTAACTGTGTCAGCCTCAGACTTCTCTTTAGGAATTCTGTCAGTTTTAAATATTACTACTATAAACCAATATCCAGTATATTTACTTGAAATACCCAAGAAATTTTCTGTTAGTTAATCTTCAATAAATATTCAAAAGCTATGCATTTTAAGCTTAAATGTCATTCAAAATGAAATTTTGATCTGAAAAATTATGAAATATAAATCAGTTCATATTAAACAAGGCACGTATAGCTTATACTTTAAGACTTTTAAACTTTTCATGAGAATTTGGCCAATGAACAAGTGTTTTGGGGAGAATTAATGCTAGAGTTATCTTACTCTGGCTTAGGCTCACAAGGTTCCATCTTTTCCTGTGCTGCTGCCTTGTTGACATCAGTTGTGTTGTTTGTGGTGGCATTCAGAGGCAAAGAATCTACATATGACATGAAGTATGCAGTCAATTACAATTGAAATAATTAAACAAAATATGTTGCTCACTCATAAAAGAAACAATCAACTTTATTTATGATGTAACTTGAAAAGCTTAGGGTTAATTGTGTGCTTTATTATCTTATGACATTATCCATATCTAGAATACTTACTGTTGAGTTGTGATATTTCTGTTTTCTCCTCAACATTTAAAACTTTCTTTACCAGCTTCATTACAGTATCTGAAAGAAATGAAATCACATGCTGAAAATGCAATTATGATCAAGGTTGCCAACTGTAATCAATTCTTGCCAGAAATGTCTATTAAGATCCCTTGCTTCTCCTTTTCATAAATATTTTTATTTGATAAATGTATCACTCTTAGTGAATGTCTGTTAGTATAAATTTTGTGATCAGTGATTCTCATAGCTAACATTATTCTGAAAGTCAAAAAAGATAGCCAATATCTGAGATGAAGAGGAATTATACTAACAAAATAATTGTGTTCTAAGTTTTGTTCAAAATGATTTAATAAGAGACAATATTTCAAAAACTTACAAATGAGAAAGAGAACATATGTTTGAGATAGCTTCAAGTTTGAGGGCTTAATGTGAGAGAGAAAGATAGTAGAACATGTTAGTTAAAAGCTTCATGTTTGAGAGAGAGGGGGAAAGAGAGTTTGAGCTTGATAAGGTTTAGTGATAGAGAGAGGACTATCTTATGTTTTATTAAGCTTTGAAAATGTACAGTCTTAATGATAGACAGAAGTGCAAATTACAGGTAAGAGAGAATGAGAGAGAGAAAAAATTGTACATTTACCATATATTTTCATAAAATAAAAAAAGGCTGCAGTAATCATATAAAAAAATTTTTTTTTGATTTATGGTTTCAAATGATGTTACATATAGTCTTATAATGTCAGAAAGGAAAATTATTGTTATTGAGGTAATAATGATAGAATTGTTTCTTGAGACAAAGTTTTACATAAATCAATGACAAACTATTTTCTGAAAAGATGAATACCCTTGAGTTACATTCCAAATTTTTTTTAATTTGATTAATAGGTCAGATTTGTGTACCTCATTCTTTATTTTGTTAAAACAGTGCTTGGTGAATTGTGTGAAAAACTTATAGCAGTAAAACTTCCTTTTTACCAAATTAGGTATCCATATTAATGAAAATGGTTTAAAACCACCAAAACTATTTTGTCACAAGATTCTTTCAAGATGATTAATGCTGAGTAACTATGCTGATTACAATGGTTTCCATTTAAATATTAAAACATATTCTATTGTTTTTAGATTTTGTTATATATTTCATGGAGCTAAAATGAATTTACCTTTAGCACTGGAGAACAAATTCTTTGGTTGATCCGAGTCTGCCCCCTCAACACTATCAGAGGCTAAAAAAAAATTATGATAAAAAAGCTTCTATGAAGTTAATGTGAAGATTTATCTCCCTTATACTAGTGTAAAACAACATGCATTGAACATAATAATATCACAATCTTTGTGAAAATCAGTATCACATAGCTAAAAGATGCAAACTACAAGTCAGTTTCTCTGATGGAATTTGCAAGATGGGTAGAAGTCTTTATCTCGAAAATTCAACTGATCAATAAACCGACTAATTACAAAATGGCTACCATTTTAAGTTTAGAGGGGTACACTAAATGGTGACACTTACTGCTTTCTCCACTGTGCTCCCCCTCCTCATGATGAGATTCCAGGTCGTCATCATCATCTAACTCCACGGGGATTCCATACACTCTGGAAAAATAGGAAATACAATAACAGTTTACCACCATTATGACTGGAAACCAACTATTCAATACAAAAGTTTAAGCAAAATTTTTGAAGGAGTGAATCAAACAGAAAAGTAAATTGTTCAACATAAATTTGATACAAAGTGAAATGGATTTACCTGAACATTGTCAGTGGGCAGTAGTGTTCCTCTCCATAGTGAGTGAGCATTTCAACCTTTACATATTTCACATAAAAATCGTTTTCCACTTTGGTTTGAAACTTGTCCAACCCTCTGTTCTCAGTTAATGTAAACACACCTAGATGCTGATATTCTTTGGTTGGATATCTGTGCAAAAAAGATTTTTAAAAAAGAAAACTCACATGCTAATTCACAAGTAGAACTAATGCACAGTGTATTAAGTTTCCATCAGATATTTTGATTACTGTAAAATCACTTATTTTCGTGGGGTCAAATTTTCATGGTTTGAGGAAAAATTACTGGTTAGAGGGTAAATGATTTCATGGTTAGATGAGAAATATTTTACTTCAGTGAACAGTTTTCATATTTCGTGGGGGACATGAATTTGTGAGTCTCTTCAAACCACAAAAACAATGAAAATTAAACCCTCACAAAAATAAGTGATTTCACAGTAACACTTGATTGATACATCTATTCAGTTTGAATTCCTATAAATACAAAACTTTCCAATAGACTTACCTGTCACTCACATTGACACTGATGTTTTCTGGTCTTGAAGAAAACAGTTCAAAACTACCGGCCTCAATTTCATTGATGTAGATGGGTTCACACAGTTCAATCACAAACCTAAAATAATTAAATGTACATGTATAATTAAATCTTAATGCATTCAAACAAAAGAATGGCAATATAATCTCCTCTAGACTTGTTTGTGTGCCTTGTCCAGAATTTGGATCCACCCACCATTTTTTGGTGACAGCACAGCGATTGATCATGTATTCATCTTTATTGTTGGTCAAAATTCGATCCACATTTTCTGCCTCAGGGTTGCTGGCCAGAATCTTAGCCCCACAGTCTTTAGAAGCATAATTCACCTTTTTTCCATTCTTTTTCTTAGGAGTTGTTACCCCTTGTTCTGACATTTCAGCTAAACATCAAGAAAAAATCATAATATATATATATATTATATATTAAAATTGATTTCATAGTTAAAGGGGAAATATTATAGACTCTATAACAGACTCTAATCAAAAAATTTAATTATAAAATTTAAAATAAAGTATAAAAATCATTAGGTATATAATTCTAAGAATTATCTGACACTGCACATGTGTTGGCAAACTGCAATATCTAGCACTTTGACATATATAAAAAACAAAAATTTAATTTGTAAATTTTTATCATTTAAAGTTTTAAAAAGGAAAAAAGATTTGAGTTTAAGTTGAAACAAATGCTTATAATTAATTTTTTTAAAACAGAGAACACACAAGTGTTTAAACTGTACACTGTATACCTTTCTGTTTGTTTAGTGTTTAATCTGTACACTGTATACCTTTCTGTTTGTTTTTTTCCTCCTCGGCTAATGCTTTTTGTCGCCATTCAGAAAATGTTTCAAAGTCCTTCTCAGCAGATTCATCCTTTGCCTTATATAACAAAAGAAAACCCGAAATGAACAAGAATTTCACAAAACAGCCCAATAACTATCATAAACATCTACTTTACAAAATGTGGAACTCTTCTGTATTCTTCTTTTACCTCTTTGACCACAGGTTGAAGGGTCAGAGATACAGGTTCCCCCTGGGTCTGTGTGGAGGTTCCAGCAGGCTGCTGGGGTAGGTTCTGTTCATTGTCTGGGGGTGGAGCTGGGATACCCTGGGGTTCTTTATCCAGAGTTTCTGCCCGAGAATCTGATTCTGGTTCCTTGACTTTTTCAGTGTCCTCCTGAGATCTGTTTTGCAAAAACAAACTCTTACACATAAAAATTACATCAGTTTAAAGATATACCTTGCTACATTGATTTTTAGTCCCCTACCGGTGAAACCGGAGGGGACTATAGGTTTCCTCTGAGTCTGTCCGTCCATCTGTCTGTCTGTCTGTCCCTCTGTCTGTCTGTCAGTCTGTCCCACTTGGTTTTCCGCACTTTTTTCCTAAACACTTGCAGATATTGAGCTGATTTTTGGTATGTGAGTGTATCTTGATGAGTTACAGATCAAGTTTGCATTTCGTTCCGCTTCATTGATTTTTGACGGAATTACGGCCTTTTCAATTTTTACGGGTTTTCCGCAATTTTCTTCTAAACGCTTGTAGATATTGAGCTGATTTTTGGTATGTGGCTTTACCTTGATGAGTTATAGATCAAGTTTGCATTTCGTTCCGCTTCATTAATTTTTGATGGAATTATGGCATTTTCAATTCTTAACGGGAACCAGATTACACTTGCCGGTAGAGGACTAGTATTGCTAATGCAATACTCTCAGAATGCTTGTTACTATAGATAAAGATCCTAAAATACCTTTTTTGTAAATTTTGTATGCAATGCCTGAATGAAACTGACGAATCAAAAAATTTTCAACACACCTGTCCTGGTTTTCCTTAATTTTGTTTTCCTGTGTTCCCACATTCCCGGGATTTGGGGATTCCTTCCCTGCTATTCCTAAATCTGTGTTGTCAGTGGTAACTGTCCCTGAATCCTCACCTTTGTCTGTACTTTTTCCCTTATCTCTGTGCGGACATCAAAATAATTCATTAATTAATACAGCAAAATAATCTATTAATTAATATAGCAATTAACAGAGCTTGACTTTTTATCCCCTCAATATTTTTCTCATAAATTTGAATTCTTTTTACAATTTTTATTTTGTTTGCTATTATTTCCATTTGTTCTAAATATATCTGCATTTGATCTTGGTTATGCTCCCTCCCCCTTCAATCTGGTCACTTTTAAAGGGGGGATACATATATAGAGTTACCCATGTTTAGTACATGTAGTGCATCTTTGACATCCCACTTTTCCCTGTAAAAATATGTGAAGGATTACAATTTGGACTTTCATATTTGCACTATGGATAGGTCTGATGAGGAGATGGGATTGCTTATAGGGTCACTGGATGTGGCTTCCACTGTTACAATGCACAAACAGATTTATTTAATACAAAAACTTAATGAAGGTTTGAGTTGGGATCTGAGGTGACCCGTCATGGGGTAAAAAAAATGTAGCTTCTGTTGCTGATTTAGAATTTCAATATCTTTGCAAGATATTTTTAAATAGTGTGAAATGGAACGTTATCATTTATATCATCTGATAGTATGATGAAAAGGTTATCTGAGATTGTTTTTGCTGTCAAATAAAGCCTTTACATTTTCTCACACACATAACAACAAAACATCTATTTGACCAAGAAGTAGAACATCTAAAAGCCGTTACACAAAAATTCTTATCAGCACCTTTTTGCTCTAAACACAGAGAACTGATACACTTACTCTTGTTGATTTTGTGTGTCTTTTTCAGGTTCACTCTTGTGGGGTGGTTCTGTGCCTGACTCAGGGTCACCCTACAACAAGATGTTCATAGTCCAATACATTAGAATGCAGACAGATATTCATTCATTTCTTTTAAACATGAACCAAAATGCACCCTATGCATCATTCATTAATTTATTCACTTATATGTTTGCTTTTTTTTTTTTTTTTTTTAAAAAGCAAAACTTAAATTAACTCTTTAAATTGTTGCTTCTATCAGTATATGGTACTAAGAAGTATGTAAATAAATTTAATTATAAATTTATTTTACTTTATATTATTTTAAACTTTCACGATATAATACTTATACAGTGTTATATATATTAAGAGGGTTGGGTGGTTGTGGCCATTTCCAGACTATATTGATCTCCTTTAGAAGAAGAGCTCCATATAAAGATATACAAAAATATCAAATTTTAAAACTAAAATGTATGAAATTTTTGTTTGCCAAATGACAGCTGACAGCTTAAGATATGTCTAAAAAATTAAGTTATATTTGATGGCTAATTTGTTGAGCCCCCAGCCTCCTTAAATTGTCATATAAAAAGCAGGACAGAAATAATAGCCATAATAAATCACTGAAGGGCAACTACTACACCGAGAGTTCATCATTCTGTCTGTATCAAGGCTGTATATTATAAGTTATAATTCTTCATTTGTCATGTCTAACACCAGAGTGTTCCTTTAGCGTATACTTTAAGACCTTTAATAAGCTTTCTATGGAAAAAAAAATTCCCCCAGAGAGATGATAAAGTTCACAGCCAAAGTGATGAACAAAAAGACAAATCCAGGACATATTTAAATAAATAAATACCACATTTGGTTGTCTGGAAAGACATGGCAAAACTTGGGAGAGTTTACAATGCTGTCAGTATAAACATCATTTCAATACAAGCTGCAGCTATTAAATGTGTCTTTTACAGTCTATATTTTAAACATTAATATGAACTACAGTTTTCATCCATTTCATCTAAGACCTATGGCCTAAAAAGAAACTCGGAATCAAGCAGCAGTTTGAGAGAAGAGTTTGTTTTTTCTTAAATGCACCAAAATAAGCCAAAGAAACCACATAAAATGTCCTCAGACCAAAAAATTGATTTTTATTACACAAGAAATTCTGCTTTGCAAGCAAGACTGGCAAACAAAGCTAATTGACTTTCCAACCACGACATGTTCTTTAAATTACATGCAAACTTAATCGTGTCTGACATATCACACAAACTTTATAATGGCCTTTACAATATTCTACACCTGTTACTTGGCAACAGATGGTGATTCACATACATATATATAAACGTAACAATTGCTGAAGCTGAAATTTGATCTAGAAAAGGACTTTTACCTGTTTGTTATTGGTAGCCTTTTCACTTTCTTCTCCATTTAGTTTCTGTTCACCTGATACATCTTTTACTGTTTCTTTATTCTGAAAAGTCAAAACAATATAAACTAGAGGTACTGTGAGCACTGAGCTCATAAAATGATACCCTCACTCCCATATGAGTATAATAGCAAAGTCCATGTCTTGATATGGGAATTTAAAGACAAAAGATGAGTCCGATCAAAACATAAAAAAGTGGTGCACAATAGCACTATGTACTGTAAATCATGTTTATTTTCGCGTAATTACGTGAACCTGTCCTCTCGCGAAAATTTTATTCTTGCATTTATTTGTATTGCTAAGGATTTTATATACAATAGAAACCACAGCGCGTGAAAATTTAGTCTCGCTTATAAACACTGAATATATATCTCACAAAAATAAGGTGTCGCGAAAATATAGAGATCTACAGTACTAAAGATTCTGAGAAAGTTTCATTAAATTTTATTCAGTCATATAGGTGAGTTGGTGATAACAGATGGGTAGCCCCAATATATTAGGCGTAATAAAAAAATATGTTTGTTTACGGTTACCCGACCGACCCTATATTTAATCGCCGACCCAGACTTTTTTTCATCGTAAAACCCGGAAGTCACTCGCCAGTCAGTTTAACTTTTACATGCATCTTAATCGGTTAAGAGTTTGAAATCAAAATTGAAAGCACTAGAAACAAAAAGCACCACACAATGGTAAAACTGTTTTGTATTTCACCCAATTCATGTAAATTTGTTTATAAAAAAATCAATAAAATAAATAAAAACTCCTACCTACCGACCCTATTTTATTTCAGCATGTAACAGTAAACAAACATATTTTTTTGTTTGGCCTTATAGAAAGAATGGCAGTCTCCATGTTTTGCTATAGGAAACCCCAAACATGACTCTGATCAGAATATGAAATAGAGGTGTGTAATGGCAATAAAGATTTTGTGAAGGTCTCACTAAATTTTATTCAGTGGTAAAGCAGAAGTTGAGATTAAGAGATTGGTATCCCCAAGCCAAACGAATGTACAGTTGGACACCCCTATCATTATTTACCCCTACATTTAAAGCAGGGTATATTAAGACTCTCATAGCTAAACATTTTATAACATAATGCATATATTCTAGTAATGGTTTAAGAGTAATTAAATTGACACATATTGTGATAATTATGCTTTAACAAAAATTCTATTTTTTCTAAATTCTTAGGCAATTTAAAAAAAAATTCATTGAAATATATATGATGTAATTTAAAGTAATTAGTATCATTCATTTTATATTACCATGATTACAGGTAGGTTAATTAAAACACATTTCAATGACAAAGATGCCAATTGCATCATGTAGACATGTATTTAACCAAAATACATGTCACTGAACTTTCTCATGCTTTGTAAACAGTGTGGCATGCTTGTGATTATGAGTGCACAGCTCTGCAGTTTATTGCATAAGGTTCAAGGATAGTCTATCTCCTTAACTCTAGATCTGTCTGCCATATTTGTCTGCTAGAGTCAGAATTAATTTCCTTGATTATATCATCTTTTTTTTTGGCATGTCTTCTTTGCATGGTTTCAGAATTATCACAAAATGTTAAATGACTACTGTAATTTAGAAAACCTGTCAAGTGTGATGTGTTAGGAATTTGAAACTGATGAAAGGGTGCACTGATACTCATTTGATGTTTCATTTCAAATTGATCTCAAGCAAAACTGACTGGATATGTAGACCTTGATTATCAATAATTTAAATAAACATTTATGTGTTTCACTATTTGAGAAGTGTGTCTGAAGAAGAACAAAGTTTTTAGAGCATAATATTAATATCTACTGATGCATTAAACTGTGAATGCTTTCTCAGTAATCATCAATTCTACATATTATCTATTTCTTCTAACATGTCTTAATTTCTTCTTATTTTGCTAAAAGATCAATCAATTTTCATATGTGCACCTGCATACATGTGTACCAGGTATACCTCATTTTCCTTTTGAAGTACATAATCCCCTGTCAAATTCCCCAGACAAGATTGTTAAAGTTGTAGGTGTACCTTAAATCACCTCTCCGCAGGCTTATAACTGTTTATCTTTGTTGGAGTGTAGAAAAGAGTGCACAAGCTGGGACAAAAGGTGATCCGATACTGATAACCCATAAAAAACAGGAGTCGGTTGTGATTTCATTCAAGATTACATTCAAAGAAACAGAGAAATCCATTCACAGAAAGTTTATACCACCTAAACATAAAATCTGCAGTTCATAATGTCACAATGTATGGTGGCCACTAATTAACACCAGTTATAGGTTTTATAATGCAATTGTATGTACCTGCGTCTGGTATTCCAAGTTAATGGCCTGTTCCTCCCCTGATGCTTTAGCATCCTCCACCTTTGGCCCTCCTCCACTCTCAACTGTCTGGTCCCCACTGGAAAATCTGTCAATACATCAATACATCATTTAATTTATTGAAGAGTACTATAGTATATAAAAAGGTGAATATTGTGGGGGTTGTAGGAGTGGGAAATGGGGATGGAGGAAGTGTTATATAGCTGTCTTTTTTTTTTTTTTTACTGTATAAAAATTGTAATGTATAATGAAACAGTCTTCATTCAACTGTAACATCCTGTATATAAAATGAGATTATTTTTTTTTGTTTTGTTTTGCAAACACTGTACATATATAAATGTGGTCACATTATTTTAATCCAGAATATAGTTTCTAAAATTTTCAGTCTCTTACTATATAGATATTGTGTATAAATATGATATACATGTACTAAATAATAATATGTAATATATAACTTAATATCACTGATTTTTATGCAATCTCTTTGACATTTTTCTAGGTCCACGTCAGATATTCTATATGAATGGGATTTAAATGACTTTCTATTCTGGTATAAATCTTGACCTATATATTCCCATATTTACATAGTACAAGTACAGGTAAACGTAGAAAGGTATGTCATTCAGACCAAAATCATAACAGTATCAACTCACGTGTATCAACATACATGTACATCATTCACTATGATTATACTTATAAATATACAAGCTGACCTTTAAAAGATTTCAAGAAACAGCATTATTTAAATGCCTAAAATAATTATTTAAGTAAAGGATGGGACTAGGTAATGGGTGCAGTCCAACGAAAATATTTTATGGACATATTTTTGTATTTTAACTTTTTAATGAATGTAGTAAATGTATTAAAAATAAATTTCAGCATGTGAAATTTTCTTAAACTGCCTATGTACTACTCCATCAAATTTAATTAACAGTATTCATTCAGATGAGTATACATTAATTAAACTAGCAAAAATTACTAGTTCTCAAAACCTTTAGGATAATGACATATTCTAAAGGCCAGGTGCATTCTCATCAAATGAACTTTGTTTTGTAAACAGATAAAAGTATAACTATAGCTGTTAACTTGTGTCACCACATGATACCTTGTAAAACTGATTTATCATTTTGACAATTAACAAAGTACATCAGTTGTGTACTTCTCCTCTCACTGCATGCCTGTGTCTATATACTTTGGACCTCTGTTGATTGAACTCAGCAGCCTTCAAATTAAATATATCATCAATCTAATTTATAGATTTTAGCCAAAGTCCTGAGACTACAGAGGGGTTGGTTTAACCCCTTTGAATAAAAAATGTTACTGTGGTTCTCAACTTTTTCAAATTTCATTTATCAATTAATTTAAAATGTTTATCATTATTAATAATTTTACAGGTATAAATTGTATTATACATAATTAGAACTCACAGATTCTCAATTTATAAAAGTATTTAAAAAACTGGTTCTTGCATGATTGCAAAGAAAAACATTAACCATCAAGGCCACTGTTCTTTTTCTTAGAGCTGTGTATTGATTACGACATTATAAATATCCTTCACACACATGCTTAATTTTTTTTTTTTTTTTTTTTTACATACTCACTGGATTTATTTTTGTTACCTTTTTGAGTCTCTATTATTTAGTGAGTGTTAAAATTATGGAAACAGGTCTTATTTATAATGGTTGCTAAAGTTCTTTATAAACGCATTTATTGTGGTTATGATAATTTTGTAACAACTTTCTGGTATGTAATTTGTTAACAATGATATTATCTCAATTTTGGACAAGAATTTATCTTTGAATAAACCTGTGGGTGATTAAATTAAGGAAGTTAGCTTTCCCCCCCATAATCAATACTGAATTCATGCAGTCATGGAAATAGAGTGTTTTCTTCAGCAACTTCAGTAGATTGGACAATGTGCTCTAAATATTGATCACAAGAAGATGTTTCAAATCATTTACCACTATGTACATTGCTAAAAATCCGATTTTTATCAATCCCCAATGGTTTTCCTCATATAACTATGTAATTAAGTCTTACATGTATAGTTTGCATACATTGGGAAGTTTCTAGTATGCAGGTCCCCAGAATCACGCGATTGTGCATGAGCAGTTATTTCCCTTGCCATTGCTATGCAGAATGTAAACAAACCGCCATTTTCCCCTCGCTTCAACAAAACGCATTCGATCGAGTGATTAGGGTTAGGGTATATTGTTTTAAGATTGGAACTGTTTTATAAATCCACTCTTAAATCTTCCTGACTTTGGGCTAATTCATGTAATTTTTGCTTACAAAAAGCACTGCCAAGTGCCTTTTGTGACCAAAAACTTGCATGAATCAGCCTAATGTCGAACCGTGCCGATATACCATCTTATAGGAGTAAAGCATGAAACATGCAAAGCTTAAACAAACCGTTCATTTAATATGACATTGTATGCGATGTACGGATTAGGGTTAGAGTATATATAGCTCGGATATTGTAACTGTTTTACATGTATATTCACCCATGCTCGCATCTATATCACTTTGGGCTTATTCATGCAATTCTTGCTTACAAAGAACTGGAAGAACAGGAAAGTTTTGCAAAACTTGGATGAATTAGCTTGATCTAATGTTGAAACATGCCCAATATTGTGCGCGAAGTTTTGGCAAGTAATTGGTAAAAGCGACTTACCGTTTACTTAAGCTCAATTTCCTAACCTCCTAATGTCCATTTCAGAATATTTTTTCTTTCAAATCAATGGTGATGCACAATTGAATCAACCAATTACTAGTAATTAGTTATCACTTGTTAAATCCCTGCATTTCTCACAAAAATCTTGCAATTTTAGTAGCATTTCACTTTGAGTCCTATTAGCTACTTCTTCCTCAGTCTTCATTACGTAAAAACACAAGTGATGCACGTCATGAATATTTATGAGATTACGTCAAAAACTGATCATGTGACCACATTCCTAAACAACGCAAAATGGAGTTTTATCTACTAAACAAGTACGTTATTTTACGAAACCTTTTAATTCTCATTTAAAAAACTGTGTTTAAAAACCAGTTTTTTAAACCCAATTTTTCACAAGGAACACGATTTTTGGCTCAATTTTGCGATTTGTGGCCTTTTTTATCGATTTTGTTGATCGCTCACTCGATCATATTATATTGAACACCGCCTTCGGCGGCACCTATTTTAGCGCCATATTTATAGGGACCGGTATACTAGAAGTGTTCCGCATACATTTGTACAGAGATTACATCAATACGTGGTCAAGCATCAATGATAGTCCCTTAAATTCATACCTTGAGTAAGTACACTAGGTTAATGACAAGATTTACAAAAAAACATGTGATATACTGATGTATAATATGTTCTGCATTTTTATAATTTATATACATCAGACAGAAAATGTTGCATTTAATCTAGGTCCTTTTTTTTATTTTTAGCTACTTTGTATCATTTCTCATTCATCTGCATGTCTTTTTGTATAGCTGAAAAGAGTATTATTTCACAAAAGGAAGAAAAATCAATTTGGACTCCTTTTACACACAATTTTTATAACATACATCATTTGAATTTATCATGTTTAGTGAAATTACAAGCGATTAGTCAGAGATTTGAAATATAATAACACTTACCCTAACAACAGATTCAATAACACCAACTGAATTAATCTGTCTGACTTTAACATGTTCTTCATATCAACTCATTACATCTCTTAACATTTTTACAGCTCTCTCTGACCGACTTTCCCCATTCTGTGTTGACTGTCTAAATTAGATAGCTCAACTTCCGGCGACGTGTATCAATGTAATACGCATGCGTTTGGAAAACCCCTTCCAAGGGTTAATCGGTCAGTGTAATTATAGGTCAGGGGGTTCCAACTGCATATTTCTGAAGACCTTATATCGTTTATTCAATAACTTTTTTGTATTTATAAGTCATATTATCTTACATATACATTACAAAAGACCATAAATTAAGAAGAAGTCGACTCATAGACAATCGTTTTTTAAAAGACAATTTCCCGGAATATAGAACTCTGATTGGTTTCTGCTTTTCATTTCATTTACTGCGAGCCTGTCATCTTGAAAGCTTCATTGGCAACAAAGAGCAAGTGCTTCTTCTTTTTCTTGATTATCAAAATGCCACCCAAAAAGAAGAAAGGAAAGGGGAAAGGAAAGAAGAAGAAGAAGGATGGTAATCTATCGTTACATTTTCAATAAATAATTTCGATCTTTTGACGAAATAAGAAGTGAATATCTAACGTACATATTGAAAAACCACACGGCCCAAAATAATTTTAATGTTTACCCATTTACTTAGTCCGAAATATCTGACGTTTTCCTGGCCTTTTTTCACGATTTTGATATTTTACGTGCCAGGAAAACGTCAGAACCGGCGCCATTACGAAAACTGGAAATTTCGCCGTCTCGAACCGGAGTTGATTTTCGATACTTGCAAACCAAATTAAATGCCGAACTCACAATTTATCAATAGCACAATGCGTCTAGTACTCACCAATATCGATGAAAAAGAAAACATCACTCCACATTTCGATACAGGACTTGCAAGATTTTAAAATGCACGAAATGAATACAAATCTCGACAGTCAGATAAAATGTTTTCATCGGACTGTATATTTTATAAACGAACCATAAAAACTATGTTGACGAGTATTAAAATATTGTACTATTATTAAGTTGTGAGATTGAAATTTAATTCGGTTCGCAAGTATCAAAAATCAGCCCGAGAATGCCGCCTCCTGTTGGAGTTGGCGAATTCCCAGTTTTCGTAATGGCGCCGGTTCTGAAGTTTTCCTGGCATGTAAAATATCAAAATCGTAAAAAAAAAAAAAAGCCAGGAAGACGTCAAATATTTCGGACTACGATTTACTATGAAAAGAACAAAAAAATGATAGCATTTAGGGTATATGTATCCATACTTACAAATCAAATCGGAAGTGTCCTTAACAAAATATGTTCAAATAATGATATATCATAAAGGAAAGTTTAAAAAACAAATGTCGAAGGAAACTGTATTAAATTGATCAGAATAGATCTAGACGAGAAGTGTTATGCAATATAGTATTCAAAATGTACTCAAATGTAGATTAAAGTTTGTTTTGAAGATAATTTCAAATTTTAGAAGGTTTTTTCTTGTCATGACAATTTCATTTTCAAAATGATGTGAATTTTGCAGATGCACAGCTGGCATTAGATGACCAATACACACAAACGATGAACAAAATAGAGGCATTAAAAGATCATTTAGGTATTTATATGTCTCATAAGGCATACTTCCATGTATGTGTCAATAAAATTAAATTACTATTTATTGTTCTTTCCATATTAGAATAATGTCAGAGTAAATTATTTTTAACTTTTTATCAGCTGTTAGAAAGGAACTGGCTCGTCGTAACCAAGCAGCAGAAGAAAGCATGAAAGCTCAGATGGATGAGACCAAGGGGGAACTAGAGGAAGTCAAGAAAAATCAACTGGATATCACAGCTGGTAAAAATCAGTAATCAGAATGCTGTTGTCAAAGTTATAGGTCATCAAAAGTTTCAAGAATGTCTGCAGATAAGCATTCGTGAGCATCAATTATAGTTTGATGAAGAAGATCCTATGTATAAAAGTCAATGGTAACATTTTTGCAGGGATAAATGGAAATTGAAAATCATCTCGTATTAAAAGTTTTGTTTCACACATTTTTGTTGAATAAAGTTTATTCAAAAGTGTGAAAGTCTAAATTTAAAAAAAAATGAATATTAATCCTACCCCAAAAGATCTTTCGTAGATTGAAAATTTATGATTAATTGTTTATTTTAGCAATGACAACACAGTACAAAACTATGCAAACTAAAAAGAATTATACAATCCATCAACTGGAAAGAGAGCTCACACAAACAACAAAGCAGTTAAGTAAGTCTAGAAGGGAGAAAGGAAACAGAGAGATTTTCTATGTCTATATCTTCTTTATAAATTAATTCATCATATACATGTATTGACATGTAATCTCCACTAGTATTGTATTAAGGGGGGATCTGATTAAAATTAGATGTTAGATCCACTCACATACTCACTACATTTAGAAGGGGGGGGGGGGTGTTAAATAAAATTAAACTTTTTTCAAAAAAAGTCAATTTGATTTTATTGACTGATAATAATTTTTTTTTTTTGCTGTCATTGAATAAAACAATATTCTTATCCAGAGGAAACAGAGAGAAAATTGAAGGAAACAGAGGATGAGAGAGACAGAATTATCAAAGAGAAGGATGAAGAAATTGCTGAACTGAATCACGGCATGCAAGCTCTGGAACACAGCTACAAACGCATTCTGGATGTAAGTGTGTCTCGGTGCAAAAGTAGCAAATTTGATAAATCATAATACATGTACTTTGTCACTCAAAGAAACACCTTCCCTTATATGCCCTGATTTCTGCAGCTGTAGATTTCATAAGCTCCTTTTTTTACTGGAAATCTCCAATGTATGATTGTGATTTATTAAAAGAAACAGAAATTGTTTTCATTGTTATTTATTGTTTATATTTCAGTTGTGAAAAATTGATTAAGTTATAAACTGTAGATTAATTAGTTACTGTATTCTACATATTCTTGAATATCATAACCTATAGTTTTCACTTTGAAAACTATGGCTTACAATGATAAACATAGATCATCAATTTTGTTATTTTTAGCTCATCTGAGCTGAAGACTCAAGTGAGCTTTTCAGATGAAAATTTGTCCATTGTCTGTCATTTTCTTTGTCCTTGTCAGGGTGGGACCACTTCTGTATTTAATCTTTTCAGTATTGAACTGATTTCTGCTTTTCTCTGAACAGAGTGTTCAGATGAGCAATGAGGCCCATGGGCCTCTTGTGAATTTAGCATGCCATGAACTTGAAATTGTCTTCTTTAGCATGAAAAAAATTGAATACCAAGATACATGTATAAATTACTGAAATCTGTTCTGTAATACAAAATTCATTTTAAAATTTTTGTCAATTTAGGATGCAATGCGTAAATTTATGGAAAAACTGGAAAGTGCAAAAGAGAAATGGGAGGAAACTGCAACTCTGATCCAGACACGAAATAAACAGACATTAATGGAACTGCAGATGACAGATCCGTGGACTTTTGATGAGGTCAAACCAATGCGGGCATTGCATTTTTAATAATCTGATAACTTTTTTGACTTTTGTTGGTACTGTCTATATATGTTGTGTATTTTGTTAAAATTTGTGGAAGTAGTTTTGTAAACAAAAAAATCTCAGAATGAATTCTTGTTACTTGATTTTGTGAATGCCTTCAGTGAAAATTGAGAAGTTTGCGTCCTAGTTTGTATGTATGTTTAGAGCAAACTGTATCAGGATGTATTTGTATTCCATATACATGGATAGAAAACAACACTGCTTTGTTAGCTGTCACCAGTAACAAATTGTGTGCAAAAGATTTGGACTAGATATGCATACTGGACAACTGAGAGGATGTTGGTTTCCATTCTCTGAGAGTTCTTCTTAGGTGTATAATATATCCCCCTTGAATTTTGTAAAAGAGTGTTTACAATGTAACTTGACTTAATCATTGAGTAGAATAAAATTGTTAAAACTACACATACAGATAATTTAGTACAGAGTTGAATTATATAATGTACATTTGAGGGTGGTCTAAGTTTAAGAACATGTTTATTAATTTTTAATTGGAGTGGGTATGAACCAACCTTATCCCCCCCCCCCCCCCCCCCGAAAAATGCCTTGGTCTGCCTGTAGAGAATCAACACCTAAGATGTACAGCCTCACTGAAATAGGTTACTGCTGAGGGCATGGACACACTATTACATGTAATACTTTTGTTTACCTTTTGTATAATTTTCCTTATGTATCCAGGATAATTTCGAGTCAGGGGGTTGAGACCATTCAACAAACAGAAACAATTGCTGTATGTATCAAAACTAAAGTCTTCTTTATAAAGCCGAACTGCATACCGAAAATTCTAATTACCAGTAAATGAAAATGTATTACTGTTTAGCCTTTAAAAAAGAAGAAGAAGGGATATAGAGCATGTCCCTAGAACACAGGAGAGCACTTTTACTGAGAATAGTTTTTGATGTAGTTTTACTTTGTATGTTTTTTTTTTTTGAAAGCTGCTCGGACCCCGCTTTTTTTGTTGGTCTACGGTCGAACACTGGCAAAGAACTAGGTTCACTTTATCCATAAATGGCTTTCTCCATATACCAATTAACTGAACAAGAACTAATGTCCCATTTCAAAAATCAATATAAAGTAGAGTCTTAGTGCTTTCATTTCCTATAAAAATGTTACCTCTGAGAGTACAGGTATTAAAAACATGATTTTTGAAATTGCAACGTTCTTGAATTTTGCAGAGTGTAATTTGACTACCTTCAACAAAGAATTAAAATATGAGCCCACCCCTTAATCCAAAAAATATAGAACTTATTATTATCTTCAGAAAGAATTCTTTCTTATGTAATTGCACATTTTGGATCAGAGGTTGGGCTTTATGCAAAATATTGAAAATCAGCTTAAACGTTTGGTCATTTTTGAAGAAATGGTCAGGATTTAAGTATAATAACGTAAAATTACGTCATTTTTAATAAAGATGAAGTCATCAGGAGTCTGATTAAAATTTAATGTATTTTTCAAATAAAAATGGAGTAGTTTTTATTTTTCAGAAATTCACTGGGCCAAAAAAAGGCTCCAAGTGAACCTTGTTCTTTAAGCTTTTGAAGAGAAACAGTGTACCGAAAAGTTAGAGAAAGCCCCCTTCCCCCATCATAAAAAAGAATTTTTCAATCTTTTCAAACAGTTTTTGTTGTATTTAATTGTTGTTGTGCAATTTTTTAAATTTTATTTTTGCTTGTCAAATTGTTTTGGGAGATCCCCCCCCCAACACACACACTTTGAAACTTGAAAGACGATGCCACGGGACAGTTGATATGACCTCATCATATGCAAGTAGATAATGTTTACATCTTTGGGCTTTCTATTGGCCCATCCCGGTCCTGACTGGGACCATTGTTTGAGTAAACTTTCGTTCCCCATTTGAAGATATTTTTTTTTAAAAAAAATATGTAGATCTATGAGAAGAAGTTTTTTATTCAACATTTTAATTTTCCCTGATATATCTCTTTGTAAAATTTTGGCCCCCTTATTGTGACCCCATTCTTGTTCTATGTATAGCAAGGGAATTTAAGTAATAACTATATAGGGTACACGAATTTTTGCTTTCTCTTTGTTTGCGCAATCAAATTCAAGTTACGTCCCTTAATAACATGAATCGAAAATAGTTTTTGGAATTTCCTTCCACTGCATGATGAAAGATGGAAAGGTAAGTAGAAATCTATACTTGATTTTATTATGAAGCTTATTAATGAAATATGGTAAAGAGATAACAGATTCATCGTATTTTGCGGGTATCTCGAAATGAGATACAATTCATTCATATCATATTTGAATATATGAAACTTAGATTGATTGGGATACAACTGTACTGATATTTTGTCTGAATTACACATATGTATTGTGGTTCTATCATATCTAAAACCCATGCATTATTTTAACTTTATGTACTTTTGTTTTTCATAATCAATGTCAAAGAACCTATTGTAAACGAAACAAATGAGTAGGACTACCAAGGCATATCATAAACATAATGATATGTGAAAAACTTAAAGTACATAGATTATTTTGTTGAACAGATAATTTAAAACCCATGCAGTTTTATAATTTTCTAGAGAGCTTCACAATAAGCTTCTGGCGACTCTTGCTCTGGATTATTTACACCCCAGAGTGAGGGAAGGCGTGGATAAAAAGAGGTTCCTCCTAAACTGCAGAAATTATCTGACAACTCCCAGGGAGCGTTCGATTGACGATGTGGTGGAAGTATTCGATACTCTAGAATCCAAAGGACTTCTGGCTCCTGGGAGGTACTCAGTTCTTAGAGAACTGGTTAGGGACATAGGGATAGAGCTACTTAGAAAAATAGACGAGACGGAGGCACAGATGGGTCAAACTCAGGGTAACAAGACTGCCCAGGCAGCAATGCATGACGAATCAGGACACTGTATGTAGTGCGTCATATTTTACCTATATTGTTACCATTAGACTTACTTTCTAATTTTCAAATAATTGATATCCATTTTTAATTGAATGTAGAACACAAGTTGAAAAGAAAGTTTGAAAAAAACGAGTTGCATTCGTAGCATGTAGTTCCACAGTAAACTTTTGTTTCATTCTAGATGTGTACAACACTTATAACATCAACAACATTGAAGCGAAAAATGGCGTGATCTCAATTGCTAATTCCGACCGAGCAACTATTGTGCAAAACAGATGAAGACAGTGTTTTGAGATGAAAACATTCTTATGTAAAAATATTTTTTGTATGAAGAAACCTACACTAAAAGACCAAGAATTTACATCTGATTAAGGATTTTTAGACTTATCTAGTTCTAATTTTTTATTAAGCCAACAGGATGAACACTGAAGATTATACGTATTATGACCAATAATTAATTTTACTTACTCAGGTTTAAAGATTGTTTATAGTGATGATAATTTTTATTTCCCTGTCAGTGGTATATTGGTTTTTACATGCATAAAGCAGAGATAAATTAAATGCATTTTGTTTTTGTCATCTTTGTATTTCTTTCATATATATATATATATCACGCCTAACATAGGGCCGATCTCCAAACGCTTTCAAGAACGTTGGGAAGACATTACAAAGAGGTGTTCTAAACAATTGATGTCACTCTGTCTTTCTTGGGATATCCACAAGTTAGGACAATTTGAGAGTGATATCACTTCCTTAGAATCATCCCTCACTGATAGCATGTCCCAAGCTGATCTTGATGAAGCCCATAATATTATTGACACCTATAATATGGCCCTAACAAATGAACTCAACAAGACTCAAAGAAAGAAATTTCTCCGAGACAGTGTTCCACAGACCAGGAACAACCGATCAGAGGTCCGAGTTAACAAAACACGTAAGCCCCGCTCGAGACGCTTCAAGCGCTTAACGACAATCGCGAGGGACGGACCCTCACAAACTCCTGACGTCTGCCCAGTGCTCAATAGATCTAGTGTTCCTCTCTCCGAATCGGAGACCTCACTTCTTTCCAAGGGGCTTAACTTCTGTCCCACGCCACATGAGGTCGACGAAAAACAAGTCAGAGAGGACACCCGAGCTTTCTTTCGGAGACTTCGGTTGAAGGAGCATTTTTCTAGAAAAAACTCCGAAGTTGACTCATATGACTCTTCTCAGCCACAATTGCACGACCTAGAGGAACACAAACTCTATCGGCCAAAAAGTGACTGGGAACCTGCACCGGGCAAATGCGGAGCCCTTGAGTCGTATATTGACGCCGTTGAGTCAGACATAGAGAAACTCCTTTCAATGCCAGACAAGGCTCCCGACAATTTGAGTAAGGAAGAGAGATCCGCCTTACAATCATTAAAGAATCGGGATGACATTGTAATCAAGAAAGCAGACAAAGGCTCTACAGTAGTAGTGCTTGATAAAGAGACGTACATGGCGGAGGCCCATAGACAACTCTCAGACGAACGTTTCTATAAGAAACTGGACTCTGACCCTACTAAAGAATTCTCCACCGCCATCACCAAAACTCTTGACGAAATGTTTGAGAAAAACGAGATTGGTATCAACGTCTATGAGACACTCAATCCTATTGACTGTAGACCAGGACAATTTTATCTGCTTCCTAAGATACACAAAGAAGGTATGCCAGGTCGCCCTATAGTTAGCGCTATTGGACACCCCACGGAGAAAATTTCTGAATACATCGATTTACATCTCCGTCCACACGTAGAGAATTTGCCATCCTATCTCAAGGACACCACGGACTACATTAACAAGACGCCCTCTACTGGCCTTCCAGATCATACCCTTCTCGTGACTATGGACGTCACATCTTTGTACACCAATATTCCGCACGATGAGGGTATCGAAGCCTGTAGAGAAGTCTGGGATAGTAGATCCATACAAATTCCCTCTACCGAGTCCCTTGCCAAGCTCCTTGAACATGTTCTCAAGTATAACAACTTCATGTTTAATGGAGAACATTACCTGCAGGTTAATGGCACTGCTATGGGTACGAAAATGGCACCATCTTATGCCAATATTTTCATGGGCAGACTGGAACGCAACTTGCTACTTCAAGCACCATTTAGGCCCCTTAGCTGGTTGCGTTTCATTGACGATATAGAGATGAAGTGGGTGGAATGTCGCGAGAGCCTCGAGGCATTCATTTCGTTTGCCAACACCTTTCATCAGTCTATCAAATTTACAGTAGACGTATCTAATTCGAAAAACATATTCCTAGATACTACATCTACCCTGACTGATGGTGAAATCGAGTTCAGTCTCCACACGAAACCCACAGATTCCCATCTGTATCTTATGCCAACTAGCTGTCATCCCCCACACACATTTAAGGGTGTGCCTAAGGGTCTAGCCACCAGAATTCGGCGCATCTGTTCATCCCCTGCCTTATATCAAGAACAAAGCGGTCTCCTTAAGTCCCACTTATGCAAGAGAGGCTACAATGCCCGCACCGTACAAACTGCTATTGATGAGATGGCGGGACATGACAGGCAAAACCTATTACGCTACAAGGAAAAAGACAATAGCTGCAGGGTCCCTCTGGTAACCACATACCATCCTGTCCTTAAGAACCTCAGCGGTATCCTTCAAAAGAATCTGCCAATTCTCCACTCAAATAAACGAATGGCAGAGGTCTTTAAGGAGCCTCCATTGGCTGCATACAGACGCCCGAGGAACCTGAAGGACATGGTAGTAAGAACCAGATTGGACAATCCATTACCTAACGGGGGCTTTAAAACTTGCTCTGACAGAAGATGTCTTCTCTGTAAGTACAGCTCTGACACAGACAGTTTTAACAGCCCCGTTACAGGCCGCAGCTACAAAATACTAGGGAATTTGTCCTGTCAAACAGACAACTGCATTTATCTCATCAGTTGCAAAGTTTGCTCCAAACAGTATGTTGGTGAAACAGGAGATCTCCGCAGGAGAGTCAATAATCACCGTTCTACCATTAGGACCAAAAAACTCAATGAACCCGTTGGGGAACATTTTAACCTTGAAGGTCACAAATGGGAGGACATGACAGTAGTGGTTATTGACCATAATCCAAGATGGACAGACGCGCAGAGAAAAGGCAAGGAAAAGTTCTGGATGCACAGGCTGAAGTCATTCCGCCCTAATGGTATTAACAAACTTAATGACTTCACCAGGATGAACGTAAACTAGACCCAATCCCGGATTGTAACAACTAAGTTCATTCTCTCTATATAGTGTTAACTTTACCGTCAATTCGTATTAGTAATCCTGGAACAACCTACCCAAATATTTACAGCTCACATTTTTGTTTATTTCTTTTTTCCGATTTCCAAATTTAAAATATATATCCAAATTCATATTTCTAAATTGTCCTTCCATATTATCTTTCTTTAATTTCTGTTTATTATGTAGAGTTACGCTATTTTGATAGAATAAGACAATGTACGATTTACTGTTGGCCTTAATTAATTAGCGATAATTAATTCGTTCAATTATGTAAATCACACTTCACCAGACTACACCCGATAGACCGGACGCAATTCATAGCGCTCCGGATTTCTTTGTTCACAACTGTTTATAAACTCAAAATTAAACATGTAACATTGTAAATATTTAGTGTTTGGTAGTTTAGTAGTAGTGCTAGTTGTTTTTGCTTCTCTATTTCCTTTGTTTTTATGACTTCTTAACTTTTTTCTTTGTCCTGAGGAAGGGACAGGTTGTCCCGAAAATTTGACAATTATTATTGTTCGTGTCGTTGGTCATTTTTAGTGCTTTATATAAATTTCCATCCGTGACCTTGTATCTACTTAGTAGATCCGACACTTAGGATATACAGTGTTGTTGGTTTTTAGTGCTTTTTATATATATATATATATATATATATATATATATATATATATATATATATATATATATATATATATATATTATATATATATATATATATATATATATATATATATATATATATATATATACAACAAACTGTGATGTACAAATATATACGTGTATATGAACTATCATCATGCAGCTTCTTCAATATCTTTTTTGATTACATGTATATACCTTTACATTGTTTCGTGAAGAGGGTGGTGTCGATGATATCCTAAAGTTTATTTTTTCATAAAATCCTGGAACCTGGAATCTAAATCAACATTAATGAAAATAATTTTCTGTACTTGCAACACAGTACTCTTATACCATAACTATTATAATAATTCCTATGTCTTTCAGTAAAATATGTACAGGGATTCCGATATTTGACTCTAAATGGGTCATATATGAACTCTTGTGTTATAACACATCTCTGGCCAGTGAAAACTTTCATATGTAAAATGTAGGTAACAGTACATGTAATCTCCGAAATATGAAAAGTCACAAATGTAAAATTTATATAACCGACCAATACTGAGCTTTTAGAATTAAAAAAAAAATTAACAAGATTGCTCACCTGGAAAATATGGGTCACCTTCAGCATTGGAGGCTCACTCATTGGTATGCATCTTTATTTAAATGCACCAGCTATGCAATTTGGTTCATGGAAGTTTCGTGATGCTCAGGATTTGATATCTGTAAATATCATTGTCCGAAGTAAAATAATGCGTCTTATCTTTAGTTGTGTCTACGTGGGATTGAATTTGCTCTAAGAATTCTACCTGATCATTCATCCGAAAAATATAGGTCAATGGCTCAATGCGGCATTCGAAGCATGATTGTCAGTATATGTACCCCTAAAAGCAACATCTACGCTAGTTTTCTCTTTATAATAGGATTTAAAACCACTATGGAATTAAGATATGTCCCAAAAGCTCTATCCAATTTAATATTCATATACACACATATAATTGCAAAAGCTACACTCAATATTTTTATCTGTAAATACAACATTTGCCTCATCGACACGAGTAAATCTAAATTACCGTCTTACCTACTGCAGTCTAATTTTGCAGATCTGTGTCTTTATTTCAACACAACACCCTAAAATGGCCCTCTTGAGCGCGAACTATTTTCCGATTGCGCATCTTCTGTGCGCTGATAAAAGGTTGGCGGTTACTGATAATGGTCAGAGAGGTTGCTACAGCGATGGTGACCCTGCTTCTCAAACGATATCAAGCAAAATGTTTAACATGTGCCCTAGTAGTCATTTAGTGCTTTGGCATCTATATCCACTCTCGGCTGCCACATTTTTAGGGTAAAAACTTGTAATAGTCATATGTGTCCATTAAATATCGTGTTTACCCACAGAAGACAATTTTACATTCCTTAATCCAGTGAAAGTAATGGAAACAATAGTTTTTGAGTTGCTTTATTTTAAACCAAATATCTCCAAAGAAATACCTTGCACACACCATACCAACTGCTCTAACGCGCTCTGCAGTGGTCAAACACTGCATACCCAGTCGTGTTTTTTTCCTGAGCTTTTAATTGATAAATGCATACATAAAGATCACAATTTCAAAGAAGTAGATGGAAATTTATC